ACCAGTAGGACCTTCATTTTCTGCCAGAAATCAGCATTAGGGTTACTCATCCTCATGTCTGGGCCTTTAGATCTTTGGGCAAACTATATAGTACATTTTTTAATTTGTTTTGGGAAACAGCCACATATTTGTAACCAAGAAACCAGCGTCAGCCCATTGCTCGCATTCCAAAAATAAGCCTTACTGTCGAGTTTTAATTTGACAGTCTTTGATGAATTTAGGTTTTGAAATGCGTGAAAGAAGTGAACTAGATTATTGGTGATGCAATGCAATTATTAACACTTTGATGCTTGATGGAGACGAAAGCGACGCCTTTTCTTAGCACACAGGCACACAAATGCTCACACACACACTCACACACACTCACACACACACACATGCTTTCAGCTCGGGCAGAGTCGTGATAAATTGACTGTTCTGCAGAGGCCACCTCCTCACAGACTGCAAGGCTTCCATTCACTGCTGTCATATGACCTAAACAGATGAAATATACCGTATACCCCTGCATCCTCCCACTCCTACAGCTGAGTGATGTAGAAGTTCTGACTGCAAGCTGGATCACATAGTTTGGGAAGTAATTTGTAGTGCTGCTTTGAGTCATGTGGGGTGTCGGGAGGTGCATGTGTCGGAGGATAATGTGTAAATCGCAGCAAGGTGTGCAAATCATTTTCATATTCTTCTTGTGATTGTTCAAGTGCTCACATTGTTGTCTAAGCAGAGTACATTTGAATACACCATACCCACCAGAGAGTGCATACCTTCTCCAAGGTTATATAGCGCTACAGGAGGTTGTCGTAATCGGAAATCTTTTTTTCTATGTAAGAATTCTGCCCTTCGTAAAAGTTCTTTTTCAAGAACATACATTTATTTAGAAGGTGATTCAGATTTATTCTGATGGCGGCCATGACTTTTACAGAGTGCATGATAAATGCATGTATAACTCTCAAAGCCTGCCTATAAATATCAAATAAATTCATTAAATCACTGCCTTATATGTATTTCTCATAGGGTGCGGCACATCAGAAAAGGACATACAATAATAACTTTTGTGAGCTCATTAAAATAGTTTATGTACCACATTCAGTGACAATTTAAGTGTTTTACAAAGTACTGGCATAAATATTTGCCAAAATTTACATAGTGCCATATAATAGTAATATCTACCCCAGAAGTCCATCACTTTTACTGTTTTTCTATTTTTTCTGTTATATTTCTAATGAAAAGAGAAACAAGCAGTACTAAAAAAAAAAAGAAAACGCATAACCTCCACCTGTCATCTCAGTCCTGTTAAACAGCAGTATGAGCGGCATAAATCAGAGCTTCAGTCCTCTGTTCACTAGAGACTCGAGGTCCTGGAAGTAGTTCACTGAGTTTGTTCAGCGCAGACCTTCAGTCCCTCGTGGAAACATTGTCAGATGCAACAAAGCCTCCGCTGGAAGGCAGGAAATCACTTAACTTCATTTTATTGCATCCTTTGTTGCCTTGGAAACTAGTTGGGGGGGAAATGTGCAGATCTGCAGCCACTGAATCACCCCACCCACTGCCAGCCAAACCCCACCCTTCATTCCCACACCTCCGAATGACAGCGAGACGATGGCACTGTGTCCCATCGGAAAATCTTTTCTGTCTGTTGGGAGATTCGCTCTGTTTTGAAGTAGGTTTGCTTGTATGCTTGAAGCGGTGCCACGTCATTCTATCGATCAGGCATAAAGACTCTGACAGCAAAGCAACAGAGATCTGTTGCTCTCAGTCTTTAATTAACACCACGGTCCCACATGGAAACAGTTCAGTAGGAGATGGACTTAGTCTGATTCTAAGTTTTATGTTTGGATTGCTTGCTCTTGTTTTCATTGTGTCATTTTGTTGTTATTATTATGAATATTTCAACACTTTGAATGAGGAGCAGCAGCTCAAACTTAGCCACTTGCCTAACAGTGTCACATTTACAGTGACGTTTGTCCATGTTCACTGTCTCTATTGAAACTATATTCAGTCAGTTATGTCTTAAATGTATTATTGCATTAAAAGCTACTGAAGGTTAACAGCTGTATTTTCATGAACTGGAAACATGTGCAGTCTTATTGTCCTGTGTTACTTGAGAGGCAACAAAACAGATATTTAGGCTGTTTGAAAACGTCATTGATCAGTCTTTCACCATTCAATAAGCCCGGTGTCCTTATCTTGGCAGCTGCAGCAGTGATCCCGTCTGCGACGATCTGCTGGCTCCATGTAGCTGTTGTTTGCAGGCTCCTCCTGGCAGGTTTGGTAGAAGCTGTCAGTGTTGTTTATGTGTGTTTGCATTGCAGCAGGGTGGAAATGTCAGCCCAGATCCACTCAGACAAGGATCTTGCTTCTCATGTGTGAGATGACAGGTCCGTTGCCTTGTCACAGACGAGATGATGGATTAACAAGGCCAGAGAACAAGGCAGCATGTATGCAGATAGGACGGACAGCTGAGAAAACAGCCACAGCATAGACGTTTGATTACTGCATGTTGAAAAGCATGTTCATTAGGGAGAAACTATTGTAATACTTTTCTGATGTCTCATTTCAAGAAATGCTTTGTAGAAAAACCTTTTTAGCCACATTGAGCGAGTAAATCAATTCCAGCGGGTCAACATTTAAATTAGTCTGAGTACAGCCTAAGAGAGCTACTAGTAGCATGACTGAAGACGATCAATTTTGTCGCTTTGAAAGCAAATAAACAAGAAACCCACAGATGTACAAGAACTTTGCTTGCTTCCAATTGAGCAGAAGTTGAAAAACATGGGAATATATATATATTTTTAATCATGTTTACATTGTATAGCCTTGTGAGAGCAGGATCACCCCAAAGTAAGTGGTTTTACATCTAAATGTATTCAGAATTATAGAAGCATATACACAATACAGCTCTTTTTTTCAGAATTTTCTCAGAGGCTGGGAATCAGTGCTTGTAATGGATCACTCTGTCCTTCATCTCCGCAGGTGAATCTTACATTATTCGGTTAATTTGATAATTATCATGGTGATTAGCAAAGTAATTGTTTTTTTTTTGTTGTTGTTGTTTTTTTAGATGTCAGACACACACAAAAATGCCCATACCATGTGTGTTTGTACCACGTATTAAACCCCCAAAAAGCAAATGCTCATATTAGATGAGCTGCAAGTAGAGAGTTGTCTGTATATTAAGATGGATGGATGAACCCTTGATGACGTCACCCGTGTTTTCCTGAGGAGCAGTCCTGAATGTCAGTGTGGTGGCTCTGGCCGTCATGATATCGGCGGTGCCTCACTTCCCCTAACTCCTGGTTAATCCAAAAATGAGCGAAGAGGTGGATCTTCAGTGGAGCTGGGCCCAAGTGTCTCGGATCAACTGTCCTGTGATGGTACTCACCTGTCATTTAAAGTGGACGTGGCTTTAATTATGCAAAATTTTAAGCTTTTGTAGAATTTACATTGATGAGTTCTATAAAAATCACCTCCTGAAAGGTTGTCATTACCTGGAAAATTAGCTACAGAGACCACAGCTGTTTTTGTACCACGCTGTGAACATGTTTGTTTCTGCAATAAAATTGGACATTTTATCATCAGACTTTATGGGGATTGACTTGGTTTTGGAGTCAGCCTCAAGTGGACATTTAAAGAACTGCAGTGATTGGCACTTCTAACTTGGCTTCATTTCTTATAGGATGCTGCTGATCAGTTATAAAGCTAGTTGCTGATTTAGGGAGGAATAAACCATTTCTGAGAATGTTTGTTGATGTCAAAACACAACAGCTAAAAAAAAGGCCTGTTCTTCAGAAGCCCCGCAGATTCATAGATTGAAATGACAATAACGCTAACACCTGAGCAAGTGCACCAAAAGAAAAATGATCCTAACCTGGTGCAGAAGTGTAAGTCTTTTTCTCAGATGAAGCAAAGCAAACATTATGATATATAATTTCATTTATTGGACAACGTATAAGCACATAAACACAGCAATTACAACACAACAGAGTGAAATCTAGCAAGAACAAAAAATTTAGTCGTGTTTTTACCAGCCAGGAGCAACGTAGAGCCGATGCCATCCTGTCCTGGTGGAGTCAGAGCCAGCGTCTGTGGTGACCTGCTGCAGGAACCCAGTGGAGGATGGGAGTCTGTGTTGGTGAGCAAAGAAGCAAAGTTGGATGACGCTGAATCCGGCCTCACAGTTGACGTTGTGGAAACAGGCCTACTAAGTCTCTTCTGTAAGCTGCTGCTGCTGCACAAAAATCCCCTTCAAAAAATAGGAGCAAGCAGTGTTTTAAAATCTTCTTATTTCACCCTGTCCTCCAGAACACGCAGGAATTCACAGGCTGTCCTGTACATGTAGTCTGCCTGAGCACTAACACCCCTGCTGCTGGATGTGTTGTGTGGTTTGGTCTGAGCTGTTTCGTTTGTTTCCCATTTGCAGAATCAGGGCTGTGTACAAACACCGGATGTTTTTTCAGTGCACACAGGATGGACATGTAGCAGACCGTTATCACAGACTTAAATGACTGTTCAAGAGACTGAACTGTTTGAACACTAAAATTTCTGGAGCATTCCATAATTGTGAGTTGTGATCTTACCTAAGTATTAAGGGAACAAGCTTGTGTAATGCTAATAGACTATTGTGGAGTTGTACTGGGCCTTTTGGAGCGAAACATTTCTAATCAAGCGACACTGCTTCCATTGTTTGTACTAAAATATCTGCGATCTGTCTGTGAGAAGTCAACATGTTTTAGGGATTATGTCACTTTCCAATTATTCAGCTTTTATGCGCTGCAATTTCAAAGGTTTCCACATTTTGGGAGCCAGATTTCCCACTTCAAAGAGAATAATTTCTGGGTCACACTTGCAGACTTGGATAAATTTGCAGTGTTGAGTGGAAATTGCAAAGCAGGTCTTAATGTCTTCTTAGAGACCTTCGGTAGTCGGTGTCTTTCGCAGTTTTCCTGCCCTGCTAAAAATAAACAAAGCCGAGCATTGAGCTAATTTTCAATGTTTTCTTCCCACAGACACGACGACTTGAAAGAGATGCTGGACAGCAACAAAGACTCCCTGAAGCTGGAGGCAATGAAGCGCATTGTGGCTGTGAGTATGAATAATGTTTACTTTGGGATTTTGCTGATCAGCAGGTACGAATGCACGCTGTGACTGAAAGACAAATTCACTCTGACTTTCAGAAAAGGCCCAAAGAGTGTACTAATCGCAAATAATTTTAATAGTCTGAATATAATGGCACAATCTAACTAACTGTGCTATAGCTAAAATCCTGTCATGTAAGAGACTTAATATTCCTAATCTGTAAGACAAAGGCAGCGATAGTTAATATGGTAAAAGATGCAAACCGTACATTCAGCTGTTAATTATTCATTATCCGTGTCAGATTCCTCCTTCTGAAGCTCCTCAGCCAGCTTTTCATTCATCATCCCTGCAGGACAGAAAAGACGAAAGGGAAGGAAAAGCATGAAAAGTGACTAAAATAAAATAGAAATATAAAAAAAAAAAAATGTTGCACTGCTCTTGCAAATGACTGAAACTCTTGAAAAATGTCACCTTGTGAAATCTTCATAGTGCTTTCGGGTATGTGTTTTCTCTGCAGATGATCGCCCGAGGTAAAAATGCATCAGATCTCTTCCCTGCTGTGGTGAAAAATGTGGCCTGTAAAAACATAGAGGTTTGTAATGAATCCAGTTTCATGTTTCATATTTCTTTCACTTGTGTTGTTTTATGTAGTGAAGTTGTGCTTTTTGTATTAAAGCTTCTTTAATTTATTTTTTATTTTCCATGCTTGTAATTTATGCATTACAATATCCTATCACTTTTTTTTTTTCTTTAAATCCCCATGGGGTTTTATTTTTATCTCTCCTGAACAAAATTGCAATTTTCCTCTCCTCTTTTTGAGGATTTTATCACTGTGCTTTATCTCTTCACTTCAGATTTATCTTAGAGAAAATAATTGAACTAATCTACATAATTTAGATTTTTATGAGCCTCTTTCCCTCTTGCTGCTCCTCCCTCCAGGTGAAGAAGCTGGTCTATGTTTACTTGGTGCGTTATGCCGAGGAGCAGCAGGATCTCGCTCTGCTCTCCATTTCCACGTTCCAGAGAGGCTTGAAGGTACAGCGGCTTACACAATGCTTCAGACGTTTATTAAGATTACGGGTTTGGGACTTGGATGTGGCCATGATGGAAATACCTCCAAGAACAGTTTTGAAATTCATGATCTGCAGAAGATGAATCTCAATGGCTCCTCTAACTTTCCTTTAGTGCAATCATGTGGTTGACATGCACGGTTTTTAGTGTAATATCTTGGAAACTATTAGGTGGAGAAAGAAATTCTCATGACTTTCTTCTAGCACCACCAGTGTGTCAAAGCGTTCAGTTAAGCCTCTTTCAGACATGCACTGCTTTCTGGGAATCTAACAGCAACTGCACATGTCAACTTTATGTCTAAATGAGCAAACTTTTCTGTTGCAAAGTTGCACTGGCTATCCTACTTAGGCCAGACATTCCCATATCACTTTTAACACAGCCCAAGTCTGAACTGTACCATCACATTACCCGATGGGTGCACACAAGCGATGGTCCTTGGAGTTTTCTGAAGTGATTGAAGTGATTTTTCACATTTCAGCACCAACATTCACCCAAAAATACACAAGGAGAGTTTTCACTCTGAGTTCATTAGACACCTGCAGCATCAGACAGCAGCATATGAGCATCTCTAAAACAAGACAGTTGTGTGCATTTATGCAAGGAACAACAGCAGCAACTTCATTAATTAGTTCTAATTATAAATTATCCCGGCATGCAGGCAAGATCAATCAGGATCCAGCAGCAGGTCACGCTGTTCTTAGTAGGAGTTAGGTTATTATCACACATGAACAGAATTCTTCGTGTTTGTGAAATCATGAATAGATTAGGCTTTTTGGAATCTTTGATAAGCTTTTATTGGTTGACAATTAGTCTTTTGTTTGTTTTTGCATTTTTATGTATTTTATATCACTTGGTGCAATGACTTAGCTCGAGTGAATGACAATTAAGGCGCAGCTCTCTCTGGCACTGTGGTGGGTTTCTCTGAATGAAGCTGTGAGCAACATTAAAAGTGTAAAGAAGGAAAGGCAAGTACATCCCCAAGGCCCACTGGGTTGGGTGCTGGATCACAAAATGTCAAAAATGAGAAAAGAAGAGAAGAACGATCCGCACACCAAAAACAGGCTCCCTTATACAATTCATTGGCGTGACGTTACGAGCAAAATGCTCTTCCTCAGATATTAAAAGTGACCAATGTCTGAGAGTCAGAATACCGTCACTTTAATGGATTAATGAAGCCAGCCCTGTTATGTGTTATATTTACTGAAAATTTTCTACATCTACTTAATGCATTGCTTATTTTTCACAAACCCTAATGCTTCCAGATGATTCATCTTTATAATTTTTGATTGAGGGGTGCTGCAATAGCTCACCTGGTTGAGCCGGCATCCCATGTACAGGGGCTAAAGTCCCCAACGCAGTGGTAGTGAGTTCGAGTCTGGCTCATGACACTTTGCAGCAGGTTCTTCTCCCCGCTTTCCTGTTTCTCTCTTCACTGTACTTTCAAATAAAGGCAAAAAAGGCCAAAAAAAATAACTTAAAAAAACTTTCTTTCTTTTTTTTTGATTGAAATACCTATTGACTGAATTGTTACAAAAATAGTCTTGGAACAACAGACTGTAAATATCACTGATCTCTTGACTTTTTAAGTAGCACCACCATTGGGTGAAGTCAGGGAAGGTGGTGCATGCAACTGGACGTCCTTGCTAAAAAGCAAACGTTAGCATGCTAAATTGTGAAGTGACAATGGTAACAATGATATGTCCTGGTGGTGTTGTCACAGTGAGAATTAAAATCAGCATGCTGATTTTAACATTTGGCTCACAGAAGCCTCACAGAGCTGCTGGCTGAGGTGCAGAGGATACCCTCTTAATATTTAGACCATGTACATTTGACCACCTCAGTAAAAACATGAAAGAAGCAAAGGACAGCCATAACATTTACTCATAGATGCCCCAGGGAGGGGCCCTTTTTCTTCCGCATACCAAACACAGATATATGCGATATGTTTTAGTTTCTGAGGTATTAAAGTCCCAGAGGTTTTTAATCTCAGAATTAATTTTTAATAAAATAAATTATCTTTGATGTCAACATGCACATTTTAAGAGGCTACTTCTACAAATGAAAAACATAGAAGAGGATCAAAGAGTAAGTCATGCCTATATCTATGTGTGTATATTCAGCAGGAATACTATTAAATAATAACACCTGCTTTACATGAGAACAGAAAATGATTGTTTGAGAGCCGTACTACATCACATTCCAATGTCATATAAATGAACCCCTGAATTTTGTGTTTTCCTTTACATAAAGACATTTCCACCATAAATTGATGCATAAACATTCATTAGGATGCATGCAATGAGTGCTAGACCCCCCACCTAATGCTTCCCCCTCCAGTGTTTAAACAAATCTGTGTTTGAATCTAGCTGCTAGCATGAGTGTAGACTTGTAGTCCTGTTTGATCTCTGTTTTGCAGGAACATAGCATCCCAGAATCTTTGATACATATTTATCTGAAAGTTTTGCTCTGTACTTCTGCAGGATCCGAACCAGCTGATCAGAGCCAGCGCCCTGCGAGTCCTCTCCAGCATACGAGTTACAATCATCGTGCCCATAATGATGCTTGCCATCAAAGAAGCTGCTTCAGATATGTCTCCGTATGTCAGGAAAACAGCTGCTCATGCAATCCCTAAACTGTACAGGTACAACTCTACATACATTAATAGCTAGTATGCCTCAAAAACACATTTATTCCAACCAGCTCTTGTGGACTTACTCATTGTTTTATTTGAGTACTTAAGGAAAGGTGGTTATTGGTTATTATAGCAATGTTTAAAAGATGCATTAATACATTTTGGACTAAATTTTAGTTTTTAACATTTCATAATTCATTTTATGGCTCTGATCCCCAGTCTAAGAACTGCTAGGTCTAGATTGAATGTTGGTGTGATTCAGTGCCACTGTGAAATCATAGCAGTGAAAGGTAGATCCCTCAGAAACATATTTCTGCTCTGCCAGTAAAATCCATTTGTTTTAAACTCTTGAGTGTGATATTTTTTTTTTAACAGTTTCTCCAACATTTCTTATGTCGTGCATTTGAGTGATTTATTCTTCTCTCCTCTCAGTTTGGATCCTGAACAAAAAGACCAGCTGATTGAAGTCATAGAGAAACTCCTTGCTGACAAAACCACGGTGGGTTTTTCCTCTGTTCGCATACTTGGTTCAATATTTTCTCCAGCAGCTTTTTTTTCTCCCTAAGCAAATGCAAATACAATTTTGAAAACCACACAGTGCACAAAATATCAGGACCAGCTGCTGTGCACAGCACCAGATTGCATTCAATGCCTCACTTGTTTCAAGGCTTATCATTTGTTTAACCAGCCTCCCTCTTCACCTTGCAGTTTTTGCATAAGCAGTTTTTAAGGCAGACTTAATTGTAGACTGCATGAAGCGTGTTTGATATTTAGGAACATTATCCTAACATCACCTCCTGTGGTGTGACTGAAAATGTGTTGCAGTTGGTGGCAGGGAGTGTCGTTATGGCCTTTGAGGAGGTGTGTCCAGAGCGTATCGACCTGATCCACAAGAACTACAGGAAGCTGTGTAATCTCCTCATCGATGTGGAGGAGTGGGGTCAGGTCGTCATCATTAACATGTTGACCCGCTATGCCAGAACCCAGTTCCTCAACCCAAACATCAATGTGAGTAACAGACACACACAAAATGACTAAGCAAGGAGGCTATTAACGAACAATCATTTCCATCAGTGATTATTCTGACATTCTTCTGCAGTAATGTGATCTATAAAATGACAGAAAATAATAGAAAATGTTCATCTAGTTTCTCCAAGCCTTATTAAAATTTCTTATGAGAAGCCGGAACTCGAAATTTTTTGGTGATTTAGTCAGATAAATGACTATCAGAGTTTTCTTTTTTTTGATTTTTGTTATGTTATCATTTTGTAATCTCCACAATGATTGCAACGATAATATAACTTGTCATGGTAACACATACTGTGTTCTTTTTTTTTCTTTTTTTTTAAATTAATTTACACTACAGGCTGATTTATATTGCTTTGTGAGAGACAGTAAAGTTCTGAATCTGAAATATTTACTACACGTACCAACACTGCTTACACTTGCATGTGTCAAAGAATCTGATTAAATAAACACTAAGTAGTGATTCACTGATTCATAGCCACATGTCGCAGCAGTTCACATGAACTAACAAACCCAGGAGTAGCTGTACTCGTCATGTCTTGTCATCAACGACTCATTTGCATATAAATTGCATACTAGGAGATTAGCGTGCAACAGAAGTGTATAGGTGCATGTTTTGCAATAATACAACTTTCATTTTCTTGGATTAATTATAGTCCTCCACTTCTGCGTGGCTGTGCAGTGTTACAATAAGCCTGTCATTATTTCCCTCTCACTGTAGCCAACTTATTTCAGTACATTTATCAGTTTTTCGGGCCCACCTGTTGAGTTTTTTTTTTTTTTAAACTCTAAACTAACAAATGGAGCCATTACTCACAACATTGTTACTGCAGTAATTCTCTATGCATGTGGTGACAAACTGGTATAATGATTTTGGACGTTGTGTTTGTGTAACAGGAGGAAGCCTTAAGATAATGATTCTCATACACAGTGTAGCTGCTTTTCACAGTCTGGTGACTTGCTGTGATTATTTAGGCACTGAGTAATGACTTTCCATGCAGTGAATAGTCTATCTTGGATAGTTTGACTGCAGAAAAACTATTTTAGGCCAATTAATGCTTTCTGCATCCATGTGTCTGGAAGGATGTCCACATAATGCAAATTTTGTCATGTGCCCACGTCTGCAGCCTAAAATTTGCAACCATGTGTGCCCTACAAGCATGACAGTTGTGCAAACGTTGGGAGGCCGAGCAAGGAAATTCTCGGTCATTCACACCCTTGTTATTCATCTTGGGCTACAAGGTGGAGCAGTGGTTAGCACTGTCGCCTCGCAGCAAGAAGATCCCTGGTTCGTGTCCTGGTTAGGACGCCCGGGATCTTTCTGCATGGAGTTTGCATGTTCTCCCTGTGCAGCGTGGGTTCTCTCTGGCTTCCTCCCACAGTCCAAAAACGTGTTGACATTAATTGGTGATTCTAAATTGTCCGTAGGTGTAAATGTGAGTGTGCTTGGTTGTCTGTCTCTAAGTGTAGCCCTGTGAAAGACTTGCGACCTGTCCAGGGTGTCCCCTGCCTTCACCCTGAGTCAGCTGGGATAGTCTCCAGCCCTCCTAGTGAGGATTAAGTGATGTATAGATAATGGATGGATTATTCATCTTTAAAAAAGTCGTAGTTGAAGTAGGCGCTGCCGGACTTTGGGGGAGCTTTAATTTGTCAATGCTTTCCATTAGTGGTGTGCTAACACAGTGGGAAGTTTCAAATTTCAGAAATCCTGTGCCATGTCTGTGCATGTATGTATACTGTTGTATGAATGGAACTGTGTGCTGGTTGGCTGTCCTCATTGGAAGCCTTCATCGGTAGGTGCACAGCGATGCCCAAACTTTAATCATCCTTCCCTTTGCAGGAATCCCTGCTGGAGGAGGGAGGTGGCGGGGATAAGACCTTCTACGGCTCAGATGAAGATGAGGATGAAGACGACGAGGAGAAGGAGAAGAAAGCCGAGGCTGCTGCCTTGGCCAAGAGGAAGCCGTATGTGATGGATCCAGACCACCGGCTGCTGCTGAGGAACACTAAGCCGCTCCTGCAGAGCCGCAACGCAGCTGTGAGGCCACTACATTTACACACTCCTGACATTAGTGGAGCACAGCACAGCCCATTAACCCTCATCTTGAGTCAGTTGCCATGGTGGAGATGGCATTAGTTTCCTCTCCAACATTGTTTTATGTTGATGAGGTCTTCGTATGCACAGCCTTCGTTCATGTTATCAAGCCCCTGTCACTCAAGCATTTAAACGTTTTAATGTCCTTCAGCAAGACACTTAATCAGAGCTGACCTCTTCCTCAGAAATGGGGACGAGTTACAATTTCCCAAAGGAAATTAATAAAGCATCACACTACATTAGTGCTGCTGTGGTCACCTTGGGTGGCCTGTTTTGTTCCACATTCGTTGTTAGAAAATTCCCCCGTCACACATTATTCAGCCTTTGCACTGTTGCTGTCCAGCTGGTTGCTTCTAGGTGACATAAGAACTAAAAAACCCAGCAGCAGAAAATATGCTTATCTTGCTGGTAGCATAGATCAACAAGCTTTGAAAATCGCTTTTTGCATCGATTTAATAATTACCAGTTGGCTTCCTTTTGCACTTATGTCTTTGAACGTTTTCTTCCCCCACTCTTGTTTATGTGATATATTTTGTCTTACATTCATCAAGTGGCCAGAAACACGTCTCCAAATAAATGACAATGTTGCTCCATCACTGCTGCAAGTGTAAATAACTAAGTGTTTGCTAAAAAGTACCTGATTTGGTGATATATCAATATTTCTGCTGCCCCCAAACAAATCAGTTATTGCAGGCTTAAAGTGGCTCAAATCCATATTTTTATGTCAATAGTGGATCAAATGACAACATTTTAAATAAAAAGAAGCTTGGAAAAGCTGCCGAGCACCAAACAGCAAACAGATAAAATCAACAGCCAGACATTTCCTTTAGGAGACAGTAGATACCAACATTTTTATGAAGTAATATAGCAATATTTGCAATGTATGCATTTCATGAGTTAAAGCAGCTTTGAATTTGTGTACAATATGCTGATTGAGTAGTTAAAACTAACACTGAAGAAAAAAATAAAAAATCACAACCATGTCACTTGACTGAATCAATTGGCAGATTATTTCTTAGGTTTTCAGCTGAGTGCGGTAAAAATACAGAAAAACACCATTTGCTTTAGTTCCTTCATGCATATTCAACACGCTGGCAGAATAAATCCAAACTGCACTGCAACATAAGGTGGTATGAGGCAGTGAAGCATTGGTTCCGGACTGCTGGAAATTAATGAATTGAGCTGAATGCCATCAGATCACATTACTAAAAAGGGACTCTACAGTGCACTTTTTGTTGGTTGTTTCACTGCACAAGATTTACTCCTACTATGTGTTTTCTTATTCTCTGCACATTCCAGGTGGTGATGGCTGTGGCTCAGCTGTATTTTCACCTTGCTCCTAAAGCAGAGGTTGGTGTGATCGCTAAGGCCCTGGTACGTCTCCTGAGAAGCCACAGGTGAGCTTTACTGACTTTATTTCGAAATGAACTCAAATCTCTATACCAGCATATTCCAAAAGTAACCCAGTGTGCTCAAACCAGCCACCTTAAGTCTCACCCGCAAAGCAACAAAAAGTAAGTTGAAGCTGCACAAAATACACAGCTGGATGAGAGAGAAGGAAACTATAATGACCATAAAGCTCAGTAAAGTGGAAAACAGTATGACAACAACAAAATGACAAGTGCAGGTAGTAAAACAAATCTCTGGAGCCCTGAAGCAGAAAGTGAAATTAAACAGGGAGCGCAGTGAAGCAGAAGTAAACATGAAAGCATAAACCATAAGGAGTGATGACAGCACATCGGTGGCCTCCTGGCTGTAAGTCCTGCAGTCTGCCAGCTTTTTATTGAACAAGTGGTCGTGTGGCTCTGGGTGTGCTGTAATGGGATCATTATTCAGCAGCGACCAAACAGCAGCATCTCTCTGTGGGAGTTTTGTCAGAAATCCACTGTACTGTTCAATATGTTTCATTAGACTTAATCCTATGGAGTCTGTGGTGTTTCAGCTCGCATAACAACCACACGGATTTGCTACCTGGAATAACAAGGCCTAGATATTTAACAAGAAAACTACAGAAACCTTTGAAAGCATTTTCTTATTTGCCAGGTTTTTGTACTGCTTCACCAAACAATCACACCTAAAAACAGTTAGCTGTAAGAAATTTTGAACATCTTTAACTTAGAATTTCAACTAGAGAGCTAATATGAAAGGCTTTTTGTCATTTTGATTTTATTTTCAATGCATATCAATGAACTGTTGCTTGAAAAGCCACGATATCTTGAGCATTTTGTTACTGAGCTAGCTTTAGCTAGCGAACTACCAAGCAGGCTATTTTTAAGCTTTTACCTCAGAGCTATGGTGCTTGCAAAAATGCTAATATTTTTCTATGTACATTTTTAGGCATGTGACAAACAACAAAATCTCTAATTTTGTTTAAATAAATAATAAATAAATACATTGTATTTGTATATCACGCTTTAAAATCAAGTGACATCTCAAGGTGCTTCACATTAGGAAGAGTAATAAAATGAACATCTGAGAATTTAAAATACTTAATACTCCAACAGAGCCCTAATTTAATTCGTTTAATTTCGTTTTTTTGTTTGTTTTTTTGTTTTTAAGACATGGAAATTAGACATAAAAAAAACTAAACACAAACTTTGCAGCCCACACAGGTGACAATATTTTTGTCTAATTAGCTGTAGCCTAGTTTGTCCCTTTATGGGCACAATTCAATGGCAGAGGCAAATGTAAATTTCACAAGCACGGCACAATGTGGAAAAACTGTTTTTTGGTGTCTTTTGGCAATTATGTTGTGTTATTTTCCTTTAAATCTCACTTCACTACAAGGTGTATAGAGGCTTTTTATATACTAAGTTGACTTTCATTTTGCTAGTTAGCTGTTAGCGCTATAGGCTACAACAGTCAGGGGATTTCTGACAAATTTTATTTTCACTTTCTCATTAAAGCATGAAACTTTACACAGTTTGGATTCACAAACGCTTTTAGAAATGTAGCCATTACTTTTCACCATCACCAAATTTTGTATCATAGCTCCTGAACCAAACATGATAACAGAAAAGGTGATACAATGATACCATATACAATATCAAAAACTGTTCAGCTGCATGGTTAATGGTAAAATAAGAGCTCTGGGAGAATTAAATCAAAAAATCTGACCTGTCCTTTATGGTATCATGTATGTTACATGCATGTTGTTAAAAGCTTAATCTTTTTGTTCATTAATCCTGACCATACATTTACTTCAATATTCAATATAAACTTCTTAGTCTTAAAAGAACACAATTTACTTCAAAAAATGTGTTTCAGAGGCATACTTGATCGTTTTGTTGTTGTTTAACTTATTCTTCACTGCCTCCTTCCCACTGTCATTCATACTGATGCAGATCTGTGCACTTTAAGGAGGCTTTTTCACCTTTCATGCAACCACAACTTTCCACTCTCTGAATGAGAAACTGACCACACCACAGTGGTCTCCAGTAACTAGGGTGTATCCAACCCTAGCCTGCTGCAGATGGCATATTTGGTGCCACCTTGAGTTCTTGTCCCCAACCATGTCCTCCTTGGTACACTGTTGATGCTGCATAAGTAAATATTTTTTAGCATGTCATCTGACTATACACAATGCCGATTTCAATGGAACTGATGGAGACACCTAATTGAATACATCTGTTTAATCACATGTAGGATTACCGAACAATATTACCTAACAATATTACCTGATATTATTACCTGATATAGTCACAAAAAAGGACATTTGTGGCATTCAGCTCTGCACCGTGCTGTCTACCACACAATCATGTCTTACTCAACCATAAATCAATGACCTTTCAATATGATCGGAGTAATCTGGTCAACTGTAAATAAATGCTCAATCCATTATAAACAGGAAATCTATAAGTCAGTGCTGCTCCAACATTTACAGTCATCCTCAAATGTATTCATACCCTCCCATTAAAGAAGGAAAAAAACAGCTGTTACTGAAATAAGCTGAAATTGACAAAAGTAATAATAAATAAAAGTTTAATGAAAATCATGACATTGATTTTGAATTGTGGTTCAACAGAAATATTTTTTTTAAAAAAGAAACAAACAAACAAAAAAAAACAAGCAAACAAGCATGACAGGACCCGTAAACTAATATTTAGTTGAACAACCCTTTGAGCCAATCACTGCAATCAAGTGTTTTCTGTAACTATCAATCAGACTTCTGTTCCTATTGACAGGTATTTAGATTTTGGCCCACTGCTCTAGTGCTCTAATTTGTCCAGGACAGTTTTGTTTTTGTTTTTTTTAAATTATTCTCTTCAACCACAATTCAAAAGCAATGTCGTATTTCACTAAATTATAATTTAGCAAATTTTTATTTATTATTACTTTTTTCAGGTTCTAGTTGTTTGAGTGACTATTGTGAATTTTGCCTTTTTCTTTAGGGAAGGGTATGAATACATTTGAGGACGACTGTATGTCATGCTGTTGGATTTCAGCCTCAACCATAATAATGTTTTAAATCAAAAGCAAATATTTTTTCATTGCGGTCTTCCATTAGGGGACATTTTGTTCATCAGTCTTTCCTCCATCCGTCTCTTCCCTCAGTGAAGTCCAGTATGTCGTCCTTCAGAACGTGGCAACAATGACGATTAAGAGAAGGGTGAGTGAGATGCGCCTGGTTGTATTTCTATCTGTACGTGTGTGTGTGTGTGTGTGTGTGTGTGGCACTTTCAATCAAATGCTGACAGAGCTGCAGATTCACTCAGGCTTTGTTTTTCTTCCTGTCTATTTGTGTTACAGGGCATGTTTGAACCATACCTGAAAAGTTTCTACATCCGCTCCACAGACCCAACTCAGATCAAAGTCCTAAAGGTTTGCTTTCTCTGTTATCAGTATACTCCAAAATGTCCAGTGGTTTCTGGAGATCAATGTGAACATGAATGTTTTTTTGTTTTGTATTTTTTGTCTTTTGCAGCTCGAGGTTCTTACTAATCTCGCCAATGAGACAAACATTTCTACCATACTCAGAGAATTTCAGGTACACTCAAAGGGAATAAGTCCAACTTTTGGAAGATCTGTGTTGCAAGTAGAAATTCTCCGGCCTTCCATTTTGTATTGTTATACTGAGTCTGTTTTTTTTTCTTCTGGTAGACATACATTAAAAGCATGGATAAAGATTTCGTGGCTGCAACAATCCAAGCCATCGGCCGCTGTGCTACCAACATCGGGGAGGTGAGGGACACATGTCTGAACGGTCTGGTGCAGCTGCTGTCCAACCGAGATGGTGAGTCTTTTTGTATGACACTCAAGGTGCTTAATTACATTTATGTAGGAGGAATAAACTGATATGGACAGAGGTATGAAATATTGGTTCCTGGTTTACTTGAATTAAGCTCGTTAACCTGAATTCTTAAACACTGGAACTGGACTGAGGTTAAACACGTTAATAAATAAAAGGTAAAAATGAGGAACCTGTCTTGGGATTGAATTTAAACTGAATTAATTTTAATCAAACAGCCTAAGATTAATAGAAGATGTATCAAAGCCATCAGTGAATCAGCGTTTATTCCTGATGTTAACTCTTCCACAGAGCTGGTTGTCGCCGAGTCAGTGGTTGTTATCAAGAAGCTGCTGCAGATGCAACCAGAGAAGCACAGCGACATCATTAAGCACATGGCCAAACTAACAGACAACATCCAGGTGAGAGTAGCTGTCATGAACTGCTGTTTGTGTCTTTCCTTTGGATTTTTCTTGCTATGTCTTCTTAGTGTTTATCTAATATTTGTTTTGGTAAACAAAGTTTCAGCTGAGAGTGCTGCGGTCTTAAAACACTATTTACCTTGACAAAGAAAATCTGCTTTAATTTCTGCGAGTCACATCCCTAAAAGAGGCAGATGTACACAACCATTTAATTCAACCTGTGTTCCCAGGTGCCGATGGCGCGGGCCAGTATCCTGTGGCTGATTGGAGAATATTGTGAACATGTACCTAAGATTGCTCCGGACGTTCTGAGGAAGATGGCCAAGTCATTCACTAATGAGGAGGACATTGTCAAGCTTCAAATCATCAATTTGGCTGCCAAGCTGTATCTTACCAACTCCAAACAGGTGTGAAGGGCATGTTTTTCTATAACTACCATTTAAAGGGACTATAAAACACTAAGAGTGTAAGCTTCAAACCCTCATCTAGGTTACCTTAACATTTTAGTGTGCTTAGATTTTGATATTTTTTTTACATTTTGAGAAACCAGTCAGGTTTTTTCTGACTTTCTTGTCCAGCAATTTACAGCCTTTATAGTCTTACATTTCATACATTCAGCTATTCAGCTTGTCCTCATTTCACTGAAAACACACTGTTCTAAATGACAAGTCATACAGTTGTCCTCAAATTTATTCATACCCTTCCAATAAAGAAAAGGCAAAATTCCCAATATACTCAAATAACTAGAAACTGAAAGAAGTAATGGTGAAGGTTTTTTGTAGGTACCGTATGTGTAGTTGCAAACAGACCACAATTGTTTTTGTTGTTGTCAAAAACCTTTTTGAGTGTGAATCCCATTTGTGATGTGTGTTTTACATTTGATTCATTCTGACTGTGTGAATTTAACAAAAAACTGCAAAATAGAACGCAAACCCATCGAACTTTGTATTTCATTCATTAATCTCAGAGAATGGGTTCTTACAGTTGGCCTCAAATGTATTCATATCCTTCCATTAAAGAAAAGGCAAAATTCACAATAATCACTCAAATAACTAGAAACTGAAAAAAGTAATAAATAAAAAATTGCTAAATTATAATGTAGTGAAATAAGACATTGCTTTTGAATTGAGAGCACTTTGCTGGTGAGCAGTGGGCCAAAATCTAAACACCTGTCAGCAGGTGCAGAAGTCTGATTGAGAGTTACAGAAAACACTTGATTGCAGTGATCAAAGGGTTGTTTTTAAAAATATATATATATATTTCTGTTGAACCACAATTCAAAAACAATGTCATGATTTTCATTAAATTTTTATGTATTATTTCTTTTGTCAATTTCAACTTATTTCAGTAACAGCTGTTTTTTTTTCCTTCTTTTATGGGAGGGTATGAATACATTTGAGGATGACTGTACATGAGCTCTGACTGGCAAAGTGAACGGGGTGGTCCTGATTGCCCTTATTCACTTCCATTACCAGAATCACTTGAACCACACCATAAGCACAAACACATTTTTAAACTACTGTAACCAACAATTAAATCACATCTCTTGATTGTAAGCACGCTACTGATTAATATACTAATCTGTTCCCCTCCAATACACAGTAGAGTATGTGTATGTTCTCTAATGTTGTATATCTTGTGTTATTTCTTATTTATTTTCAATTCATAATTTATCTGCCCTGCAGCCACAAATCCTTAAAACTCGTATTTTAATCTAACAGAACTTAAAGTGCAGCGTCAACTGGAATGGGAAAATATGTTGCTGCACATTACAAGATGCACGCAGCCCATGGATGCATTCCCAGCTGTAGAGTTAGTTCGTACATCGAGCAGAGACGTTTCCAGTGTTTCAGTCAGCAGAGATGCACACCCAGAGCTCTGCAACATCACAAATCAACTTTTATTTATTTTGCTTCTCTTCTGTCGCATCTATTACATAACACACTGACACATCTGTCAAAACACAGCTCTTAATGTGACATAGTCAAATCTGACACATGTTAGATAAATGTCTGAGTCTTTCAATAATGTTTTTTTTAGGTGTCACTAAATGTAATTTGGGATTTTGCAGGAACATTAGATCTACTGAAGTCCTCTTTGCTGCCCACAGCTGTCTGTGATACAGATTCTTTCCTCTGACTTCAATAAGTACCTGCAGCATCACGCTGCAGCAGCAACAATAAGTGTGTCTTTAAACTGAGAGTGATGTGCACATTTACACACATGGCACAGCAGCAGAACTTAGTAAACGCAGAATCTTATGGTAAACAACATTTTATGTTCTACACACCCGTCAGATCAACTGTTCCACACAAATCTCTGGTTTATAAGATGTAAATATTTGTATTAAAGCTTCTCTGGATGAATCCTGAGCTTCTTCCAAGCTGTCAAGACATCTTTATTAGGATAAGCCTATCTTTACGTGCAACATTACATTTCAGTGTTTTAACTGGGATAATGGGACAGAAGCTACAGAGAGCAAAATGTTTGCAGTTAAAATAAATGAATAACTGAACAGGAGTCAGCTTAATCTCTAATAGCAATCCTCTAATTAGAATGTTTTACTTTTATTGATTGAAGTGATGAACAGTCTCTGAAATTATTGTGTCCATTTTTTTATTTTTAATTTTTGGAAATATTTACATTATATACTGTTGGGTTGTTGTCAACACCCACCAGATCACGTGCTTAACTAACAATAATTTATCCTTGGACAAAATAAAGAAATAAAAGGAATAATACAGAAAGAGGAGGTAAATTACTAAATGTTTTTATTCCCAGACAATATATGACCATATATAAGTGAACCATTTTCCTCTATATCAAACAGTAACACTAAGAAGGAACATGTTACTGTCACTTAACTGATTAGATGCATAGCAACCCTCAAATTCATCCTAGCTACCTATTAATACATTACTAACTAATCAGGAAACCATAAGAAACATCTGGCAACAACCTAATGGCACCCTGTCAAATTACCCAGTGCAGTATCCTCTGCCTTTTATCACATTTGGGTCGTGATACCAGACCTCGTTAAATGACTTGTTAACCATTAGAGGAGTCCAAAAACATGTGCACAGCTGCACACACTCATACTGTGTCCTGTACATGCATCAACCCATCAGATAGATATCCTTTGTCCTCTCTTCATCCTCTGTGTCCTTCCTATTCTTCCCCCTCGCAGACTAAACTGCTGACGCAGTATGTCCTCAACTTGGCCAAATACGATCAGAACTATGACATCCGGGACCGGGCGCGCTTCATCCGCCAGCTCATCGTGCCCACTGAGAAGAGTGGAGCGCTCAGCAAGTACGCTAAGAAACTGTTCCTCGCCCTTAAACCTGCACCTGTCCTCGAGTCTCCATTTAAAGGTAAGGAGCCAGTCTGCCTTGATCTCAGCTTGGAGAGAGATGAAAGCTGCACAGCTACAAAGTATTGCTTTATGTCTTGCGATAACCGTGAACACTGAAACAGAGATTATACAAATGTGTGCTCAGAACTGCCAGTAATTCTTTTTTCTCGTTTGTGATCTTTTATTTCTAGTTTTCCTGACTTTGACAAAGTGGCTTTTTAAAATTAAAGGACAGAACTGATTTGAGGCATTTTATTAGAGCTTAATTATCTTCAGTACTTGGACCCCAAACAGATATGAGAGTCACTACAAAGTGATCACACAAAATTAATTATTCATTTTCTTGTTGCCAGAGTAAAGTTAGAGAGAGACTGTGTTAGGCTAAAGGAGTGGGATGTTAGTTATTCACTGAACTGTCCGACTTACTAACACAGTCAGCAGCTGCAACATTGCCTGTGAAACATAATGTATCCTTTTACAGAGTAACAACATACGTCTTTATAGACTTTATAGATTTATACTTGAGGATATCAATATCTCCGCTCTCTGCAAACTATCTTGCATAAATTTGCTTTAAAATCATTGACAGATGTTGTTTCTTGCAACCATAGAACTTTCCAAAGAATCCTAATGTTTTAAGATTTCTTCTGTGTAATCTAGTATTATTTATCTGTTTATCTACGGGGGTATTATAAACAGGAACTGTTGATAGCTAGCTCAGCATACTTGAAATATTGGTTAAAATTAGGAATGCACAATATATCAGCAACCACATCGGTATCAGCCGATATTAGTGTTTTTTCCTATATATCGATATCGGAATTTGCTGCTATTTCACAGATGTTTTTACTTAAATGATCCTGGACTTGAACGTTAAACATGTTAAATATGTTTTACTTTTGTTACGTAATAAAGAAGACTATGTGGTCTAACTTGTTATGGACTTCTTTTGAATAGTTTTCACGTTCTCACAGTGCTTACTTATACTCATTTTTCGGTGTGAACAAAAATTGAATATCAAAATCAGTCATATCGGTTATAGGCGATATCAGAAATCTTAATATCGGATATCGGTATCGGCCAGAAATTTTAATATTATGCATCACTCGTTAAAATGTATTCAAAGTTGCTCTCAAGTTGTATTTCAGGGCTAGATTACGGTCTGTTTACATCTCCCAAAGCTGCCGAATTACGGTACCCCTTGTGTAGTTGTTATCCCTGTGTGTTACTGCAGATTTGCTTTCTTTCAATTGAATTTCCCTTCTGGGATAAATAAAGTATTTTTCATTTCATTTCATTCATTTCCCTTTGTGTTATTGCAGATCGAGACCACTTCCAGTTGGGTTCATTGTCCCACCTGCTGAATGCCAAGGCTGGGGGCTACCAGGAGTTGCCTGACTGGCCTGAAGCCGCCCCTGACCCCTCCGTGCGCAACGTGGAGGTGAAGGAGTCTGTGCGTGCAGTGGGAACAGTAACATACAGAGACACAGGGGCCCTCTGGGGGCCCCAAAAGATGGCGGGGAGTGAGGGTTGCTCCCTCCCCAGAGCAGTGCCTCAGAGGGGTTGGACAGAGTCACCAGAGCCTCACACTAACTCCAATATAACATTGATTTCTCTTTCACTGACCATCATTCATTCACTTACAGCTCATTAGCATTAACAGCTCATCAGCAACATGCATCCTTGTTGGCCTCCATACACCTCTAAATGGATGCTGCTTAACAACTCGCCCCTCCATGGAGGAGAATGAGTCACAAAGGAGAAAAGAGGAAAAGTTTGATATTAGTGAGAGAAAATGTTAGAATTAAAATCTAAATTGGAAAAGACCTAAATCATTGTGAAAACAGTTCAGCTGCTCTCATCCTCTCTGCTGCACTTGTTCTGTTCGGCAGCAGCGGCTCACTCGCCCCATCCAAGTGACTTCTCATAGTTGTTTAAGCCAATAGCACATGCGAACTGAGGGGTATCGTGAAACTGTAGCCAGGGTGTTTCTTTTTCGTTTTCCAAATTTTCAAGCAGAAACACAAGTTAAATTCTGTCTTTTAAGAGTGCACTTTGCCCTCTCCTGTAGAGCATTGTCCCAACTCTCCAGAGTCTCTCCTCTTCTTCTCCATCCATTCACTCCATGTGCCATCGGCTCATAAGCAACAATGTGCTTTTAAATGGACATAAAATCAAAACTTGAGTGTGTCACTTCTTTGTCAAAATCGAGACTCAACCTCAAGGTTTGATTTTGTTGTCAAGTGTTATTGTTTGTGTTGATAGTAGAGCTTTTTAACTCACAGCCTAATGTTCCATACCAAGTGTTAACTTGTCATTTTCCTTGTGATGCAGATTTCAAGATGAGGCCACAGGTGCATTTTATTTTGACTTGACTGGTGTTACAAAAGAGACAGGGTTCTAAAAGACCAGACCAAGAGTTCAGTGCATTTCAGACAGCCAAAGAAGTAAAAAAGTGATGACTTTTGTCCATTTTTCAAAGCTTTTTTATTCACTTTTAGTGCCATTTTCATATTTAATTCCATATTTGATAGTAATTAGAAATCAATTTAAAACAGTAAACATATTTTCTGCCTTTATTTGTCATGTGACTTTATGTCGTGGTAATTTAAGTACTGTTTTAAATCGAACTTCTGACATTCGATTTATTTTCTCACAGCATACCTCATTGCTTCAGCTTGGTTTGTAATGCCATCCCCCAGTTTGGCTTCTCTGTTGTGGCCTGACAGCTATCGAATCACATTAGCTTGTGACGTCATTCTGAGGTCTTGCCACCGCTAATTGACAGCACTGCAGCCTCTCTACACCAGATGTAGGGCTGAGAAGGCTCCTCTCTGGTCTTTGCTTACAGATTTTAAATTGGAATCTGTAGCAGCTGTTGAAATATCTATGAAATTACTACTAATTCTGAAATTATTTGATGAAATTTAGCCATTTAACATTTAATTGCTAAACATTTAATTTTAGTTTTCAATAATGACCATTGTTTTATACATTTATAATAACAATAATATTAACAAAAAATCATAAACTATTATATTAATTCCTTTATTTATGTAGTTGTAAGCTGCACAAAGCAGACAGGGAATAAAACAAAGATGAGACAAAACATCAAATATATAAATGAGTCAAATAAAATAATCACAATGGAAAGGATTAAAAACTAACTAAAATATAAAAGAATGGAATAAAATAACCACAATAAAGCTAATTTAGAGTTTAGTGTAACATTCACCAATAGATTACTTAGGTGAGTTAGTGGTGCTACATGAAGAAATACAAACAAATTAGTCAGTTAATCCATTAACTAATCAATAACAAAATAATATTGTTAATTTTAGCCAAAATGGCAGGCATTATGTGCTTTCAGCCTCTCAAATCCTAAGATCTATCACTTTTCTGTGTTTTAACTGAATATTTCCGAACCGTTTCATATTTAATAGGTTTAATTAACACCGTTACTAATCTGTCTGCTGTAGATCCGGTCAGTTTTCAGGTAGTGCTTTGTCAACTTACAACGTGGCTAAAATTAAACTGTGGCTTTGGATTTTTGTCTTTTTTTTTAGCAGCAATACTCAAATGCCAGTGTATCAAAATGATCAAACAATAATGCTGAAGGTCAATCTAAAAACCAATAGGATGCTTTGAAAAATGGCTGACAGTCATGTGTGATGTACACGTTTTGTAGCCAAAGTGCAAAAATAATAAAAACCCAGTGGTAAGTCTCAGTTTAGTTGCTCAAAAACCTCACTGGCTCATTATGAAACCGAGCGTCCCATGTTGCGGCTGTTGAAGCTGAGAGGGTCAGTGGATCTCCTGAAGTCTCAACTCCTCTGACAGCCTCTTCCTCTGCACATTATACTCGTCCACAGACAGAGGAAGTCATTACCACCGGTGAGGGGCGGATCGGCTTGCTAGGAGACTGGCGAGAGGTGCCCCTCCTCCACGTTTGGGAGTGCGGTGGTGTTTGATGTGACGACTGTTCTCTCTTTCTCTCTCTCACAGTCTCTTTCTGGTCGTCATTTAATGCAGTAGCTGCTGATGGTGACAGTGATAAGATAAGATTAATGGGATTCTCAGAAATGAATCCTCAGTCAGTGCACTTAAGTGAGGATGAATATGACAGCTGTTGTTGTCCCAAGTGGAAAGAGATTAACAGAATGGGGCCAATTATTGCTTTAAATGAGAGGAAAATCGCAGAATTAATGGTATAGAATAGCAGTTTATCCTGAATCTTACAGAGAAAGCTAATTAGAGTTGAAACTGAAACCAGTCAAAAAGATGAGAAAGCGGACACTTTATTCTTCAAGTCAAGAGGAAAACAATCTCAACTCAGGGTGACTTACTCACTTGTTTTGATGCTTTTAATCATTTTCCCTTGTCGTCACTGGCAGTCAAAGTTTTACTTTCAGTTTAAGGGCTGTGCTTCCATGTTGGCTGAAATATTAAGATTGACAGTGGGCTTTATGCAATCATTTTTTTGTTTTCTTATTCTAAACCTGAAGCCCTAAAGATGCCATATAAATAATGACCTGTTTGTCCCAGTTCATAGTAGTAACTTAGCAGTGTCAGGAGTAATATAAAAGGGCCTGAAACAATTTTTAAATATTAATGGTAGAGTCCAACACTGTGTTATCAGACGGCTGCTGTACTGTGCCTTAAACAAACAGTGAGACTGATGTGAGGTTATTCAGGCTAAAAGACATTCGTCTCAAGCAAAGCAGACGAGGAGCACAATGAGAAATGATCATGTGGCAGTCGTGAAGATACTCGACAAGACAATGTCATAGACTACAATAGGTGATATAACACTGACCATCAGCGACCTGCAGACTGAGAACTTTTCAGCAGTGACCAATAATATATAGTTTACTCAGCCGTAATACAAAAGAAATCCTAAAATTTGCAAAAGGTAAGCAAATTGCAGTGACTGTATATGGTAAATTGGTAAGACATATTTCTGTTAATAGTCTGGCAAGCTAAATATTAATCTTGCATTAAGTTTACAATAGTTGTATATTTTATTTTTGTTCATTTGCATACTATATTTAAACTTATGGACAACTCTGAAATTTAAAAATTAAAGATACAAGGAAATTGATGAATGCCACAAATCACCTACAACCGAACAAGAAATCTTGTTAGTGTTCAAAATACTAGAAAGCCTGAAAATCCAGCGTTTTTTTTTTTTTTGACCAATCTTCATTTGGTTTTCAAAACAAGCGACTAAGTCCAGCCCAGAGTTGAGATTGTTTTTCCAGCTGACCCTAATTTTACTCCTCTGCACCGAACTGGTCTTTCATGAAATTTGTGACACGAAAAGTGAAAGGTCACAAATGTTGTGTGATTTTGAGTGAAGTGAGTTGCTTAGACTTCTGCCTTTCTCCCTCTGCTGCTCCACCTGTGCCACTCTTCATTTAGTTCATTTAACCCATGCCAGCACAGCATGCTTTGTTGTTGGCCAAGATGTTCATACTAAATGCATTTCCATGTATTCTTTGATGTATTATTAGGTAGTGAATGTGGATGTTGACTTATAATTTCTGCAGTGTTTAAGTATATATATATCTAAGTATATACAGTAGTATTAAGTTATATTGGAGTGCATTGATTTTACCTGTTAGACAGTTTTGTTTGATCTTTTTTAGCAACCTACTAACGTAATGGTAGTTAAGTGTAATGTGATGAAATCTGGGGTTTATTTTTTGTCTCTGTGATATCCAAGACTGTTCTCACACCTCCTTATTTTTAGACCCTGAAACCTTCCTGTGCCTGTTTCTCTTGCTTTCCTGACTTTTTTCTAAAAACTTTTCCTTCCTTTTTCCTCATCTCCATCCCAATCTTTTTCTTTTCTACGTCTGCCAGGTTTTTACGCTGCTTGAAAGAGTCACAACATTAACGAGTGTGAGTCAGTTAGCGCCAAAGAGCCACACGTCCTTGAGCCTCAACCCATATAGCCGCAAAAACCCAAGTGCTTTTTAACACCCCGCCTTACGTAGTTGCTGTTCTGTGCTTAGCTCAGCCAAAGCTACCTGAAACACGGCACCCTCTTCCTCGGTCTGCACCATTAAAGAAGTGATTCTTTTAGCAGGACGTGCGGTCCTCTGACACGTCGACATGCATTAGCAACCTTGTGGGTTTTAAATGGGGTTTGGAGATGTCCGTGCTCATTAGCAGATGGCTCTGGTTAATGAGTTTGGTCACAGAAAGAGCAGATGGCCCTTCTTTAAAGTGTGGGAGGATAGTCAGTGCTCCTCAAAGACATCACTTCTTAATGGAACTGCTCCCTGTATTAAAAGAAAACCATTTCTGCAACTGGTCATGAAGGCAACACCTGGTGCTAACATCTATGTGTGCAAAGAAAAAGAAAGAAAGAAAGAAAGAAAGAAAGAAAGAAGACTCCATATAAGCATTAGTGTCTGTACTGAATTTGTTCTCTGACTGTCAGATCTAAAGCAGATCTGCAGCAGCGATGGCTGGCTTCATTTGGCTGCATCACGCCCAGGCAGAGGCATTCATGGCCATGCTACTGTAATCTGCCCACGTCTCTGCTTCTGTCTGAGGGGTTTTTCACTGAACCAGAGTTGACGGCTGACTGCTTCAACTATGCTTCTTTTGCCAGGTGCCTGAATGGACCAAATGCAGCAGCCGTGAGAAGAGGAAGGAGAAGAAGGTGGAGAAGCCGTTCTACTCTGACTCTGAGGGCGAGTCTGGGCCTACAGAGTCCGCTGACAGTGGTAACGTTAGAGGGCCGCTGGCCCCCTGGTGGCGCCATCTTATCATCCATTAGTCAAAAGGGGCAGTGGGGTTGGGGATACTACAAAAAGACAGAAAAATCCTTAAAAAGTTTAAAACCAACTAACTCTGTCTGAGACACTCAGGATCACTGGGTCCTTCTAGAATTCCAAATATTTAAGAAGTGGTCATTGGTATATTGTTTAATTTTTTAACAGTAAAACATTAAAGGTTTAAAACACCTGAACACTGGTGTCCTTGAAGAGTAAACATATTATTTTACATCTTTTCCACACTGTCAGTACACAGAAACCTTGCTTGCAGACAAATAAAACTTTGGTTTTAGAATGTCAAGGCATTTATTGACAATAAGAAATATTAATTTATATAGATAGATAGATAGATAGATAGATAGATAGATAGATAGATAGATAGATAGATAGATAGATAGATAGATAGAGATAAATATTCTATATATCAAAGATTTTATTTTAGTAACTCATCATCCTCTGGTGAGTGAAACATTTAAACAAAGGGTTTCGTGATGTACCAGTGTTGGTGAAACCGTGATAATCCTGAAAATAATCCAGCAGCACTAACTATCTGGTTTACACACCAACAACACAAACATAAAAAGATATAAAACACACAATAAAGTTAAAGAGGAAACTGACTGATTTTTTTAATAACCGCCACAATATGAATTATGATGATGATAATCATGTAGTGAAAATCTGATATCAGTGCTCAATAGAACAAAACAAAAAGGGTGTGCTTTATGAAGAGGAGAAAGTTGTCCCGTCTTTGTAAAGATTAACTAAATTGCTTACTCTTTCTGTGTGGAGATTCTGTAGCAGAACAGAGCCAGCCATGACGTGAAACAAATGTTCACAGTTACAAAATTGAAATAGTTTGGAAAAATACACTGTTGTTAGTGTAGCTATAGCACAGAATTGTCTGTGTGATCTCTGTGTTTAGTTGTGGTTTTGTGTGTGTGAGCCTCAGGTTCAACCAAAGAGACAGAAACTCTGAGAATGTCAGATAAAGGTGCTCCTTAATCTTCTTTCTTGTTATAACTTGCCGCTAGAAAAATGTGTCTGGAGCATTAATAATACAAAGGATAATAAAAAGTTGATGTTTCTCACTGGTGAATGTCATAGAAAAAACTTTTTATGATTAGACAGATCAAGAAGATTTGACAGTGACTTGTATTCCATTGATTTTGAACTTGAATCTTTTGAGAGATTGTTTGAAACGATGGTTGCCTCGTGGTTCGTTAGAAACCACTCAGTTTCAGCTCCGACTGACCTGCTCGCCCTCTTAACTTGACGTTTTCCTCCTCAGAGTCGGACTCGGCCAGCGGCTCGGAAAGCCGCAGCGGCAGCGAGGTGAGCGGGTCGGGGTCAGAGAGCGAAGAGAGCGAGGAAGGCTCTGAGTCTGAGGAAGAGGAGGAGGAGGAGGAGGAGAAGGACAAGAAGAAGAAAAAGAAAGAATTAAAGAAGCCAGTGCATGAAAGTGAAAGGTAGTAGAGCTTTTTTTTTTTTGTCAGTGTCCATAAAAACAAATGATGATCAGGGATTTCTTGGTCACTGAACATCTTTAAATATAGCATTTATCATATCCCAAGTTGTGAGTGGGTGGATCAAATTCATTCTTATGTCCTGAGCCAACTATCTTGAATTTTAATATAATTAACTTTCTCACCAAAAGCGTGTGGTTAACTGTGGTCACATCTTGGAGCCCTCTTGTGTAAACCATATCCAGTTTAACTTGATTGATATTTCCTTTTTTTTTTTTTTAAATCTGTAAACACATTAGCTGTATCTGTTTGATCTGTTATAGAATTCAGTCTTGGGTCCCAGTGGGATGTCTAACTTTTGTTTTGTTTTTCAGTGAGCAGAGCAGTGAAGAGGAAGATAGGAAGATAGCGAGGAAGAGTAAACAACGTACGAGCGAGTCAGAGTCTGAATCTGACGAGGATGAGGAGAGCGAGTCTGAGAGCAGCCAATCAGAGTCTGAAGAGTCCGAGTCTGAGGCAGAGGTCAAAAAGAAGAAAAAGGTACTGATAATGTGTCCACATTTAGAAATGCACCCCAAATGCTGTATTGTGTGCTTGTCTTTGGATTATGTTACTGTATATTATAGTGGAAAATCTGCTTATTAAAAAAGACACATTGGATGCACTGTATCATAAGTCAATGTCTAAATACAGAAATGTGTCCACCACACAGTAACATAAAAACTGGCATCTCTTCATGGCAGTTTTCTTTGATCTCCTTCCAGACAGTTGAATCGAAACCTCCCTCCAAACCTGTCAAGAAAGAGACCAAGAAAGAGAAGACAGAAATGTCTCTGCTAGACCTCGACGATTGTGAGTTTTTTCACCTCTGATACCTTTCTCCTCAGAAAATACAAAACTAATGATGTTCGTTTCAGTAAAGCAAAGTCCGTGAACCAGGATATTTTGGGATTATTTCTAAAAATCTCACAAGCATTTGGGTTACTTCACTCTTTTCGCAAACAACTAACAAGAACCTTTTTTTTTCTTACAGGTGATAATTTAATGATTAGATAACTACAGTCTGAACTTGTTAACATGCTTGCTGAGTTTCTGCATCACCTGCATCTCTTCTCACAGTCGAACCTGCTCCCTCACCTCAAGTCACACCTGTCAACACCTTCCTGTCCAACAGCCTTGTGACCGACCTCGAGGGACTGTCTTTGTCTGACTCTGTTCTCTCACCGGCAGTAAGAACCTCACGTGTTTCTCATCTTCATAATTCGCACCTTCGCAAATCAAAGAAGAAACACACTGACAAAATCATTTTTTTTTACAGACCATTGCTCCCTCCAGTGCACTAAAGAACTACGAGCTGCTGCACCGGATCACGGGGGAGGGTCTGTCGGTGGAGTACTGCTTCAGCCGGCAGCCTTTTAGCCCTGACGCCAACATGGTGGCGGTGCAGATGCAGTTCACCAACAACGCCACCTCCGACACCAAGAACCTGCACATGGAGGACGTGAAGCTCCAGTCTGGGATGAGGGTGAAGGAGTTCCCAGAGATTGGTGAGTGAGAAGATCCACTGTGCACACATAGTGTTTTCTATTATTGTTGTTAACAGAATAAAGTCTACACCCCGGCTAGCATTTGATGAAAGCTGCAATGTTCAGTGTACCAGATGAAACATATTGGAGCATGATTAGACAGTCAATTTCATGGAAAGCGGTTTTGTCAGATGTAGATGATTCTTGCGTAGAGCTGAAAATTCTAAGGTGATGATAGATCAGAGGACCGCAGCTACAGAACATGAAACCCCATTCTCTGAGATTAATGAATGAAATACAAAGTTCAATGGGTTTGTGGTCCATTTGTGCTGTTTTTTTTTTTGTTAAATTCACACAGTCAGAATGAAGCAAATGTAAATCACACATCACAAAGGGGTTTCACACTAAAAAGGTTTTTGACAACAACCATGTGATGCCAGTAAAGTGCTGTGTTCTGTTTTCAACTGCACATGCAGTACCTAAAAAAAAGCCTTCACCCTCCTGTGAAGTTTTCCTCTTTTATTGCTTTTCCAAATTTAATCATGGTCAATTTTTAATTGAGCTAACAGTGCGACATAAACTGCAGCTTCAAAATTGCGCTGTCAATTAAACCCTAGAAAATATTAGCAAAATGTCTCTGTAAAAACAGAATACTCGTTTACTTTTGTGTCTGATACAATTATGCGTAAACTGTCACCACAATGTAGAATTTATTTGATTGTTTTCCAGCTTTGTAGCTCCTGTATTTCCTTTGATTGTTAAGGAGACAGTGAAATGTCTTATTAAAAATAAACCACACAAGTAGATTTTACAGTATCTCAATATCGGAATTCAAATCCTCATCTTCTTATCTACTAATTTTCAGTGTGTTTAGTGTCCATACTGACCTTTGAAAGTTTATTTATTTAAACATCATATATGTAAAACTTGCTCAGAATTAGTATGTAGTGTGGAACTGGTGCATTGTGGCGATTTTTTTCAATGATTCACATAACCAATAGCACATCACACAGTTGGCAGCAGAGGACACATTTAATCTCCTCAGATCAAAGTAGCAGAGAGCTCTGTGTGGTTTTATTTGTGTCAACACTGTGGTCTTTTCCCCTCCGTGTCGACAGAGCTGCTGTCAGCGGGTGAGATGGCCACGGCTGTGATGGGCATTGATTTCTGCGACTCAACACAAGCAGCGAACTTCCAGCTGTGGTGAGATGGATTCTGTGCTCCCTCTTCAGACTTCCCAATCTGTTGCGTGAGAATAGAAACAAACTGTCTCACAAAAATCTGCTGAATTTTGAAAATGCTCACAGTGTTGGGTTTGTCAGCTATGCATTAGAGTAATGTTGTGTTTTAGGTAATCATGTACAATATTTCATCCAGCGTTGTAGAAGCAGGAATGAACTGCTTTTCTGTGTTTACATAGTTGCAAATTAAAAATGATGGGGGTTGGACCATCAGTAGGACAATCCAACTGACATCAACTTGAGTTTTGAGAAAATTGTGACAGATGTTTTTCTGGTGTTGAAAAAATATTCTTTGCTAGTGAAATATTTCTTCTGCCACATATATTTAAAATTCTTTTTCATATTTCTTCATTTAAAGGTGGTGTATGTAAGTGATTTCTCTTTAAAGTTTAGTTGCTGCTAACCAGCAGACTCCCTCTCACTCCTGGTCTTGTATCACCACCTGCAGGTGGGAAACATGAGACAGGACTTGCTATGGCTAAATTGTTAGCAGCAACTGAAACTTCAAAATAAAATACTTGCATATAGCACATTTAAAGGACTTATTTCCTCTCTGTCATCCTGTCCCTATCTGAGCTCTGTGTAACATCACATAAAACATTATTTAGCAGTGAAGTTAAGATCACCTAAGTTCAGAAATATTCCTCTCCTTTTGGAAACATCATAAAAATCTTCAAATTTGTTGTGCTTCTTTTTTTTAGCACTCACACCAGGAAATTCTTTGTGTCGATCCAGCCGCCGGTTGGGGAGCTGATGAGGCCCATCTTCCTTACAGAGAACGAATTTAAAAAGGAGCAAGGTCAGTGATAAAAGCCAATGAAATGATTCTAATGTCTTGAATGTTGTAACCCTAAACCATTAACTGTGTGACTGTTGGATTTTTCAAATGGGCAGTTTAAGTGTTAATTAGAGTCTACTGATCGTCTGACTGAGGGGACTTAGCCTCTGCCTATACATCATTATTCTGAGATCATATTTTATGGATGAATCGTCCTGATAGTGCTGAACCTTTGACCAAACAACAGTAGTGATCTAGGATGCTCTAAATATATACTAGAGTTTATTCCTCTTAGGTTTTTGTCAGTTTGAACTGTCAGGCAAATAAAAATGGACCAAAGACAGTGTGATCTGTGCAGTGGCTGACTGATTTGCACACAGATTAAAAAAAGTTACAGTGAGAAGAAAACAATCTCAGTAAACAGTGAGTAATGTGCATCACATTTACTGGGGAGATGGTAAAATGAAGACCTTTGATGCTACATCTTTTAGGATTAGAAATATGTAAATTTTTAAAATGTCTATTTATTCCGTTATGATTGATGTAACATTACAGCCAAGCCATTTGTCACTTGCAGTAAATCTCACTGAATGATGTTTCTGAGTCTCCACCTCTCATCCATTGACCACTTTAGATTCACCATAACAAACCAACATGTTTGTATCAGACAGTGTCTAGCAGAGTAGCCACAGACAACAGTTACCAGCATGTTTCTGATGTCTGGTGTTCATTGTCCATCCTGACTAACACTGAGCGAGTTCTGAGCTCTAACAAACCCACAGTGACTCTTTAAACATGTGTCATATCCACGGTTCCTCCCTCTCCGTACTGTCCCCAATAGAGAAGCTATTACAGAATCTAGGTAAGTTGGCTTTGATAGACTTGTTGCTGCTGGCCGTCTGTGTGCCCACCTGCCTTATAGCTGACCTCTACCTCACACAGACCCTCCACTCCCTCCTCCTCCTCATCATCCTCCTCCTCCTTCCTCCTTTAAGGCCTCCTGCTGACTCTCCCCCCTCCTCCTCTCCTGCCTTTGGTGATCAACACTTAACTGCAGACTCACCTGTGCTAACGTGCTGCTCACACTCTGCTGCTCCACCAGGAATGACTTGAAATGCTCATCCACTGATCCCGATTCACTCTCTTAGCACCATGCGAACGGAAAAAAAAAAAAGCATACCATCTGGCTCACAGCAGCACTTGACCATTTCAAACCTCTGATAACCACTGACCATGTTGGGAGTCTGAAGTGTCACAACACATTTTTGGGCTGAGTTGTCTGTTGTTCAGCAGATCTAATAAGCACTGGTTTTGATTTGCAGGTCAAATGAGGTCTTGGCATCTAGATTACAAGTTTTATTCCTTTGTAGACTACTGACTATAGCTACATTTGTAGTTCTAACTATGGCTGCAACTAACAATTATTGCTATGACAGATTAATTTCCTGTGACGTTTTGAAATCACCAATAATTTGTTTAGTTTTTCCAGTTTTTTTTGCCTTGCACCATTAAGACAAAGCTTCAGCTCCATTTTGTAGCAGAAGTGAACCAGTGAGTCAGTGTAGGTTACAGTCATCCTCAAATGTATTCATATCCTTCCATTACAGAAAAGGCAAAATTCACAATAGTCACTGAAATAACTAGAAACTGAAAATAAATAATAAATAAAAATTTGCTTAATTATAATTTAGTGAAATAAGACATTGCTTTTGAATTGTGGTTGAAAAGAATAATTTAAAAAAAAAAAGTGCAGGTGCAGAAGTCTGATTGAGAGTTACAGAAAACACTTGATTGCAGTGATTGGCTCAAAGGGTTGTTCAACAACATACTAGTTTAAGGGTCCTATCATGCTTGTTTACTTGATGTTTTAAATATTTCTGTTGAACAAAAATTCAAAAGCAATGTCATGATTTTCATTGAATTTTTATCTATTCTTACTTTGTCAATTTCAACTGATTTCAGTGGCAGTTGTATTTTTTTCCCTTCTTTAATGGGAGGGTATGAATACATTTGAGAATGACTGTATCTGCCAAAACTGGTTATTTTTTAACACATTCACTAAAAATTCTGCGAAGGAAGCAAAGCACACAGTCATACCATGGCTAGGATGCCAACCACCCACTGATGGAGTATTTTGCCTGTGAGGAATATAATGTAAACCAGAGGACACCCACCAAATTCAGAAAATGTACAACCACAAACCACATCAACATCAAAAGTGAGTCCCACACTGACAGCTCTCGTGACTGGAGGCCACCAGCAGCATCAGCACTAGCAACGCTAAACTGTATAAAGTCAATTCTACAATGAACAATAAAAACAAGTGAAATACATAAGGACCAAAATGTCTACCACTAAAATAATAATGAAATAAACAGCAGCTAGTGTTCAGCCTGGAAACAAACAGAAACAAACTGCTACAAGTTTGCTGTGAGGTCACATAATTTGCAATGCTAAATTAATACACTGCAGCAGTTACCATCTCTTCTCTACCTACAATAAAGGTTATGGCAGACCCTTTATATCTATCATAAACAAAAATACAACACCTCAGGGTGTTTGCACTTCGGCAGTACCCAAACAATAAAACGGTAAAATACAAATAAAACATAGTTAATAATAAAACCACAGGTTGAGCTGACCAGAATCAAGCACAGAAAACGCTCTCAGCTACATGGAGAGAAAACACAAAGAACTGCAGCCTCCATACCAGGTGGCCTGCCTACTTTTTTAGCTCTACCCCCTCACCTGATTGAAAATTTGCCTGTGCATGGTTCCTGCTTCAATTTCAACCCAGAAGGTCCAGGAAATGAAGAACAAGAGGAAGTTAACTCTGAATCAAATGTTGAGGATTTCCTTTTGTTTTTTCTTCCTCTGAAGAAACATGAAGATTAAGCAAATTAAACCCAGTCTGAGGCGTTTTTACACACAAGAAATCAGTACCGTCATAGTTTTATCCTTCATATTTACTGTTACAGCTGTGTTTAGACCAAACCCCAGCCTTAAAGTTCCTAAACTTTCATGACGTACTGCACTCATGAACTTTTGGTTCCCCTGGTTAGGTTAGGTTGTCGAGTTCCTCCAAAGTTTCTTGGTCCTCTGCAGCCCTTTAGTTGGAAACTACTGGTTTATTCTGTAAAATGTGACAAAACAGTGACACACAGTTTCTTAGAACCCAAACAGATGTGTTCAGATTGCTTTTTTGTGTCAAGAACAGTCCAAAGGAAAAAAAAAAAATACGGTAAAAAAGAAGAAATTAGGTCATAAATTAAATTTTCATGTTGAAGAAGCTGAAGGCAAAAAATGCTTCAGATGAATTTTCATTTAATTGACAAATTATCTCAGCGTGCTGAATGAAATGGCATTTTATCCTGGAGGTCAGGATGTCTTTTGACCAGCAAATCAGCAAATTGTTTCTTACCCCTAGGTATCCTCTTACACCTGTTGATGCTATTTTAGAACTACACTGAAAAGTCAAGAGGCATTGAGCTCGACTAGTAGCGCACAAATTTGCATTTCTTTATGCCATGAATTCACTGAGTCACTCCACTACTGTGTTCAGTGGGAAGCATCAGTACATTCCAGTTTCAGTTGTGTTTTATAATAATTGATGTAGTGAGTATTTACATCAACCCCCCAGAGGACAGTAGGAGATGCTTGTGGTGATGCAGAGATCACCGTAGAATTAGACCATATATATACAGTATACATATAATACTGTATATGTCTGAAGCTGGCAGATATGCTGAAAAACAATTGGTTTTTATTTGATTTCATGTAGAGAAGAGCACTGTGTTGTCTCCACACTGATAGCAGCAGCACCCTGTTATGTGTTGTTGTACTATTAATAACTGCTTTGCTTTTTTTTGCTGCTGGGAGAGTGAAAATGAGAAGCAGCCAACTTTAGATCTTCTCTGTTTGAACAGCGCTCTGCTCGCACCCCTGCAGGTCAGCTGATGGGCATGAATGAGATCACAGAGAAGCTCACTCTGGACGCCAAGTGTCGGAACGAACACGCCATCGTCCAGAGAGTGACCACCGCCGCCAACCTCAGCAGAGTCCCCTGTGGGTCGGACAAGGAGTGCAGGTAAGAGAATTTAACATTCCCAACGACGTCTCCTGCGTCCAAGCTGCTCTTTAGTCTGAGTCATGCTCTGCAAAAAATTTGCTGTCTGACAGAAAGGACGCAGGATCTTGCAGGGACAAGATGTGTCATCTCCTCAGTTTTCAGCAACTTTGCCAAGAACAGCAGATTTGGAGCGTCAGTTCATACAAATTACTCTAATTATTATAAATCTACTTATAGTGTTGAAGGTTAAAATAATTAAGGTCAACGCTAGTTTTTAGACACTTTTGTTTTACGCTGTACAAATACCACAAGAACTGAGAGAGGATATGTAGTGATCTTTTTTTTTGTACTTTGGTGAACCAGCCCGTTAGTGCTGAAATCTCAGTGGTACAATCACTTGTAATTGTGTGAGAAGATTAATGTCAGTCATTGAGCGTCCCTTTGTGTCTGAGTGAAGTCTGCAGCAATGCACAGATGGGTGGTACGTGTCAAACTAACAGCCACATTAATGCACCAATCCAAAGTTTCCCAGCAGAACATTATGGTGTAACAAGATGATCAATGTTGTTTGGAGCTGATTATTGTAATTTTATCATGTGACAAATAGACAAGTTAATATTTTACATGTCCAAAATGAAGATTAATGGATTAATTATCATGACTTGTCATTTTGTCTGTAGTGGATGATGCATTATTCGATCCACAGGGTCGAATTTTGTGAAGCTCAACATGTGGTGCAGCAGTTTATAGAAGTTTTGATCTTTTGTTGAATTCATTTTAAACACAACAACACTGTACAAATACCATTTAGTTCCTCTATTTTATTCAATACTGGTGGTTTTTGAATTGGAGCTGTGGCCAGCTCCAATATGTATTCGGGATAACCAATAACTGGCAGTATTATCAATCAACAATCGATAAATCAACAAAACAACTGAGTACAGTGAACTTTTATCCATGTGCTGATAGAACTATTTTTTTTACCACAGTCATATGACATTTTCTTCAAGACTATTTGCATTACCCATTTGTTTAAGCTAATATAGGTCATCTTCAACTTGAAAGCTGTGGTTGAAGGCCATTAACTACCACAGATGTGTCTGTCATGGTGCCCGTTGGGAGCTAAACCCCCACAATGCTCTCTGCTTGCCAACATGAAACTGCCAGTAATCTGTCTGACTACCTCCTGGCATCACTACAGCATTAAACAGTAAGAGGCTCCACCTGGTGGAACAACCAGGTACTACAGCTAATCGACAGTTAATTTCCTGACATGCGCATCCTTCATCTTCTTCCCTATTAGTCAATATATTTTTAATAAATAATAATAATAATCATATTATTGATGCAGATTAATCGATTAACAGCTAATCATTGACATCCCTCATATGTATAGTTTCAAAACCAAGACTTGCCATAGTGACACACCGCAGTGTTGACTTGAGTCACAGTAGACATTAAGGACTTGGAGTGGACTTCACAGAAAAGAAAAAAAACACACACTTGGACTTACTTGTCAATTGCTAAACAGGGACTTCGTCCCATATCTTTTGATCACAGCATCACACGGTGATGTAGCTCTTAGTTCAAAGCCAATCTTCCTAAAACCTCCATTAGTTCCTGTCCTTACATAGACTGAGATCCTTGTGGTGTTTAAATGTTTATATAGCTGTTAAGTGCTTATTAAGTTTGAGTCAAAGTCCTGCTGATTGACTTGTGTATCCCTCCTTTATTCTGTGGCTTCATCTTTACTTCCGATCTTTGCTGCTTTGACCTCAGTCCTCCTGTTCCTCCTCCTGATCATCCTGTCCACAGGTTCGCCGGCAGGACGGTGACCAGCAGCAGCTTGGTGCTGGTCACCGTGGCGACCAAAGAGGAGGGAGCCGCCCAGCTGACGGTCAACTGTGAGAAAATGGTGATCGGCACCATGCTGGTGAAGGACATCCTGCTGGCTCTAACGCAGTGATGTGAGCCTTGAACTGCGCCCCCTCACTCCAGCCACCTCTCACATGTCGTCAAGACTCGTCAGTGTAGCGTTTCCTGCGTTCTCCTGCAAGCCGTGTCTGTGAGGAAGTTTCCAGAATGTTTTTTTTTTGTTGTTGTTGTTTTGTTAAAGAGCCCTAAACTTTTAGAAACGACTCCTAGAAACACCGAATGCCACAGCTGTTCCTGACGACAATCAGATACGACTGAAGATTTTTGCATCACTATTCAAAAATGATTTTCACTTTTACCTTTGTTGAAGAGCTGATTGGATTTATTGGATTCAGACTTTCAGAGGAAGATTTTAAATAAATTAGAGATGTGCGCAACCTTCAAGTGTTTAAGTAAAATAACCATTCAAATAGATCGGAGAGTGAAATAATCACAATAATAATGTCAAAATTTGCTCCCTGGATAAACCTTACAGAAGCTAAAAGATCCACTTTGGCCTTGAGAACAGCAGTTTGACAAAAAAAAAAAAAAAAGATTTTATGAAGCTTTCAACTATGGATTGTGATTTTCATAAGTGGATGCAGTTGCTCAGTTGTGATGGATTGAGGTTGAATGAACACCTTCTGTGAAAATAAGACCAAAATCAGACACAGCATCAATTGAAAGAAGGACAGTCATTATTGACGTCCACATCTGTGGCGTCAGATTTTTCTTACTTATTTATAGAAAATTGCCGAACAACCAAATAAATATGGACACCTCTCACCAACCAAATACTGTCATTCAGTGCAGTTAAAACCGAAGTTACTGGCTGTAATCATAATGACAAATTTACCAACTACACTGTGTCTATGACAAATGAGCAACTTCATCTGCGGAAGAAAAACAAAGAGTTTCAGAACACAAAAAACATTTTAGTGAAGGAGGCCTTTTTGTGGTGTTCACATGAGGATACAAAGACAAAGCAATAAACTGCTGCTGAAACATTGCAGCAATGTCCAATTCTGAGAAAGTACATTTAAAAAAAAAATAAACAAAAAAGGATCAAAGTTGAATTCATATTTTCTTAATTAATGTTGTTTGGGGGGAATATTTAGAAATAAGATGCCCAAAAATCTGTCACACCAGTTTTAAGTTGTAGCTTGTTAGTGATCTGCTTCAGACTATTTTAAGATGTAGATACTATAGGTAATATAAAATAGGTAAGAGATTATATAACCCCTCCCAAAAAAAACAAAAAAAACAACAAGTCACAACAAGAAACCGAGACTGTAAGATCAGCTTAAACACCTCTCATCCAGTTATTTGAAGACATTACTTATATACAGCATGACGGCTCGACTGAGATGACGACTACCTATAACGGAATCATTCCATTTTGGCACAATAAATGTTGTTAACCAGTAACTCACCAGTCCAGGGAACAAAGAAGGATTCTCATCTCAGATTCTGTGACTGTAGCATTTGCCTAGCTGTCAAACTGCACACGTTCATCACAATAAGTGGGGCATTTATAAAAACTGAAGATGTATAAATGTTGTATTGCAACATGTAATGCAGTACTGCTATAAGGTCGGTGGGTGTGTGTGTGTGTGTGTGTGTGTGTGTGTGCGTGCGTGTGTGTGTGTGTGGATGTGATAACACTGAATACTGACCTGACAAACATGAAGTTGCTGTTTTCAGTGTGACTTTTGTAACACTTGACTTGAAACCATCATTAAGCACATTATAATCATCAACCCAATGACATCAGTGCTTCACAAAACATCCAAAATCTTTATTATTTTTGGTTTTGTCTGAAAAGAATGACAAAAGTCACCAAACTCTGGTGTCACCTAAAGATCACTGAATTCATGATTAATCTACCAGTTATTTTCTTAAGCGTTTTATCATTTTGATTCCTACAAACCTTTTTTCTAGGCATTTTAAGGAGCCAGAAAACCAGCTTAAAAGTAAACATAGCTGCTGATTAATTTTCTGCTGATTGACAGCTGTCGCCTCCACTAAATTCACAATCCATGCTTGATGTTGAAACTTTATAGACATTTCGAGAAAGACATTAGAAGACGTACCACTCTAATGACTATTTTGGGCCTGTCACGATGTCAGATCAAGCAAATTTGAAAATTCATCTTTAACTTTTTCTGCAAATTAATTACACTCAAAATGCAAGTGCATGAAGGTGGAGACGGTCTGGAAACATAACTGTACTGTGTGTTGTTACTGTATAACAATAACATAGTAGCAATATTTTATTGTTTAATATATTTAGCTTACAGATACAAGACAGGTGTCAATCTTCTCATGTGACTTCTGGCAAAAAAAAAGCAAAAAATATTTATCAAAAAATAACCAAATTACTTATCAAGGATTGTAATGTAGCCTTCCCTTCTGAAAAACAGCTTGTTGTTACTGCTAAATAGTATAATTCAGTGTTTCATTCCCATTCATAAATTCCTAAAACGCTTTTACTACAACTTAATCGCCTTATCTTTACGTAAAGTTAATTTGAAAACCTGTATATTGATGTCAAACACTTTCAAGTCAAGTGTTACTTTGATGTCTCTTTTTTCACAACTTTCATTACATCTTGATTTCAGGTCAAAGGTCATGTGGCTTGTTTTTTGTTCTGATCTCTCACGTGTTCAGCTGCTGCACGTTTCTTAAATTTTATCTGTGTATTTATTTTCACTGTTTAAAATGTAACAGTCAGCTACCAAAGAAGTATGTTACAGTCAAACTTCAGCAGTAACAGACTGACTTCCTTTTGGCCTTTTTCTTTTTTTTTACCTGTTGCTTTTTCTGTCACCTAATCACTCAAACCAGAAACTTTCGTCACTGCAGCACAGTCATGAAGAGGAATGTAGAGAGTGAGAAATTCTACTTTTGATGTAAAAACCCCATTGGAAAAATCTGCTTTCACAGAAAACTGCTGGGTAAAACTATTCTCCAAATATCTGGCCATTTGTTCCATCTGCATCTGCTTTCAAATATCCAGAGTACGGTTTATCGTACCTTGTGTGTGGTTGTGAAATGTGGTCCTGAGGTATTACAAGTTTATTTATTATACAAATAAAAATACAGATACAGTTTTGTGTGTGTTCTTGTCCTGTGGTCAGCTGAAATGTGTAAAACCAACCGCTGCAGTGTTGGCAGTGGAGTCGACTGGCAGTTTGACTAAAGATGGAGAAAAGGGCAATTTACAAACAGCTGCTGTATTTTCAGAAGTCGAACTTATTCATCTGTGTTCTCTTTGAAATGCATTGTTCTAAAATTGGGAAGAAACTTCTGATTTCCCTAAATTGAGTACTCAAGCGCCTTTTTGTTGTAACATTACCAAGTATTATAATTTTATGCAACTTTATACTGAACATGTATTTGCCAGATGTAGTTACAAGTTATTTATGCAAAAGAGTAAGATAATACATAGAGAACATCTTGATTTTTTCAAGTGTGATTTCCTCAAACTTGTCAGATGGTTTGATTTAAACAATAGTTTGAGGCCCAAATATGTCAAATGCTTAAAAACAAAATCAAAGATAATTGCAAAGTAAAAAATGAATAAATAGTACAAAGGTATGTAGCAGTGACTGTGTGGAAAGGTTCAACCCTGGTTTAACTACCAAACTAGATGTAAAGCAGCTTACAATAGCTCCACCAGTAAAATCCTTTCACCTTTATATCCAAATAGTGCCATGTATATTATACCAGTCAAAGAAGATACAACAGAGTGAGTATTTTTACTTTTGAAGTACATTTTGTTGCTAATGTGATTGAACTTTTGAATTCAGGACTTTCAGGCATCTTTATTTGCTGTTCTTTTGGTACTTCTACTTCAGTACAGAAACTGACCACCACACAGGTGATCTGACAAAAAACAAACAAAAAAAAAAACACATACAGGTGAGATTAACAAAAGCAGTGTTTATTTAAAATAAAAAATCAACTTCAGTAGTTACAAAGCTATTTGAAATGTGTCTGAAAACAAACACCTTTCAAAAAATCCCTGATGGGAATATGAGCCCATGAGCACTGTGGCCTCTCCAGCTGATACAAAGGGTTTAATTCATTGGTGCCCTTTTCTTAAGATTGATCTGACATGAGCGATCTTTGGTTTTCAAACTGGAATGAACTGAAGTAGCAACATCTAGTTTGTGCAAGAAAATGACAGATTGGGCACCATGAAATCTACTGTGTGCACAGGTCTGTATATGATTTTTAGAAAGAGCGTTTTTCTCTTTTCTTTTAAATGCCATGTTGCAAACTTAAAGCTACACATGTTTGGTAATTACCATGGCTGTGCAGGTAAGTGAGACTGAAAAACAACTGTGAAAGGCCTTTACACTGTAAAACAGATACTGCAGGAATGAAGTGGAATGTTCATGATTTTTATATCTTTTATCGTTCATCCAAATCTCTTGAGTAATCAGACATGGCGTGTAAACATCTAAAACCTCCTTTGAGATACTTTTCTGTATCCTGGAAACCAGGATAGTCTGACAGCTCATGTTTCATCTGCTCTGATCTGCCCTACTTCTTGTTAAAACAGAATCCTACCTGGCGTTGCCCGCCGGTCCAATCACAGCTGTTTGTCTAATAAGGGGCAGGTTGGACACAATGAGTGTATGGAGGAGCGCGGCACTAACGCCCCTTCATGCATTCGTCTGATGATGCCAAGCTTTTGTGTTCATGCTGACAAAAACAAACAAAAAACTGATTAGACTCCAGCTATTTTACACAATCATGTTCAGCTCTAGTTTTCTGACGTAGAAGGGATGATTTTTGGACAAACTTTCTAAAGGTGTCCTTGACAGTAAGGATCTGAATCCTCACAAACTCACGATGTATAACGCACCTACATTTCTTTCTGTGCTTTCCTGAATAATAATTCTTGGTAAGCAGAGAGAGACGACTGTCCTTTGACAATTTTTTCTTATAGTTGGCATTTTAAATGAGGCACCATAAAAGGCACAGACAGATGAAAGAAGGCACAGGATTCAAACCTCAACGGGAGCAGAAACAGGAGATACGAGATCAGAGGGCTTTAAAGGCAGCGATCCGTCACTCTACTTCCACGACGACGTGAAGGGAATGTTTGCAGATAATGTGTGCGTCTAAAACAATGTGAGCGATCAGGTGAGCTCGGTCTGTTTGGTTTGTGGAAGCAGAAGAGCCACCAGTCCTCCGGTCAGCAGCAGCGCCGACACCAGCAGGATCGGGACGGCACAGTTGGTGTCCACCAGCTTTCCAAAGACTACGTTACCCATGATCGCTGCCACTCGGCCCACTCCTGTGAAGAAACCGAGAGCAGAGGACCTGAAAGATGGAGAGAAACATCAGGTGAGAACATGTGAGCAGCCGCATTTATTGTCAAGATGTCTTCTGTAATTCAATGTGTATATTAACACAGTCTCCTTAAACTGTGAGCAACCCTAAACTTGTGCTTATTCTACATCAATACACTAATATACAGTAAATATATGATTAGCAGAAAGTTTCTCCTTCTTTTTCAAGAAAATGGTCTCACCATGTAACCCCTCTGATTTACCACGGGTTCCCTTGGTTGGGAGGTGTGAGTTTATTAAAAATCCAAATTGACTATGAAACCTAAATCCCTTTGTTCTTTACCGTAGCTGCGTCGGGAAGAGCTCAGTTCCCACCACATCCAGAGCGTTCCAGGCGATCACTGACACTCCGCTGAAGATGCAGGACAGAACCAGGCTGTGAGTTTTGGTCTTAACCACATAGATGAAGAAGACACTCACACTGGACACCAACAGGCTGCCGGCTGGAGAAAAAAACACAAAGATTCTTTAGTCAGGTGTCGTGTTAAAGGATTTAACAGACCTCTGCTGCATTTCACCTATTCTCTTTGCTCATGGAGTGACACTTGCTACAGTGTAGTTCTTAAGCGTGGCATTGAAGCATTGATTCACTGAGCAGAGAGTGTTCACTCAGCTGCAACATGTTTGAATGAAAAGGCAGTAAAACTGTGACATCCTGTTACTGAGCTGTACAGAACAGAGGCAGTGAAGGACGGCAACAAAAAGACCAATGATCTCTTCTAAATCTAACACTAGAGAGGATTTACAGACAAATTTTGGAGAACAAACGTTGTTTGCGTGTATAAAATCTATGATTTTATGAAGAACAGACTCACAAAGCAGCGCCTTCCCTCCAGTGCTGTCCATCATTAGAATAGTGAAGATGTTTCCTGGGAGGTTCGAGGCAGCGATGACGAAGCCTTCCATGTATACTGTCAGGTAGGAGCAGATACATACATGTGAGTGAGGACAGAAAGAAGATGGGTACTGACCACCGGCTCTGGGTCACAGAGGCCTGGACTCAATCCCAGCATGCAGTGGGGTAGAAGATGATTTCTATTACAAGTCTAATTCTTCTGGAAGGTGCTACTGTATGTAATTTGGTACTTATTGTTAGACAATTAAGGGGAAAAAAATCGATTTAAACTCAAACACATAAAGCCATGTAAAGAGGAAGTAGAAGTGAATGACTTTTTAAAATTAATTTGAACAAGTTAGTGCTGCAGATTTAAAACCATTCCCATTTTATTCAGGACTGGCTACCCCAAGTCTCCAAGAACCCAAAATGTTATCACAGGACCTTCATGTAACTCTTAGAGCTGCTGATGTCAAAGCGCTGCATCTATCAGAAAGAGATTTCAGAAATTTGACCTGCATTGGAGGTGTGCCAGGAAAAAAAACAAACTTTTCCTGTCCGAAAAGAACATAAGAGCAAAACTACAGTTTGGCAGGAACAATACAGGAAAAGACGAGGTCCTTTGGAATAATGTGCTCTGGACAGAAGAGTTACAGACAGTAACAGTAGACGTGTTTGCTGCACAATGACAGCTGTTTTTGTTTTGCTTGTTTTTTGTTTTTTCCAGTGAGGAGTTGCAAAACTGGTCCTCTAACCGTTCACTCATCAAATGCCTCCTTGTCAGGCTCCAGATTTCCTTTCCTGGACCAGTTCTAAATGTGTGATTCATGTCCAGCTCTGTGTTTGCTAACTGGGAGAAAAGAAGCGATAAAACGTGCATTAATCTTTGGCGACCTCAGAAACACACCTGCTGTCTTGACAGGGTAGCAGCTCTGGTTGCTGTTAGGAGAAGGGTGGGACACGTTGGCACAGGGAGAGCCGCCGTCCTCGACTCTGTCAAACAGCTCAGGGAACCACATCCACAGCCCGTAGTAACTACACAAAAACAGATTTTTTGGACTTGGAATATAAAGTACAGCACTTTTCAATGGAATTAAAAAAGCCTAGCCTATCACACCTTTGTGACAAAAACATCTACACAAGACAAAATGTCTTCTAAGGAGCAGTGAGTCAGCGCTCTGTTCATACAGTGGAACTGGAGTCACTAACTGCTGCTGTTAGATTACATGATTTCTGGTTGCTGAAGATAAATTATTTCCAACTGTTATCTGTCATTTAAAGCTGCAGAGCGGCTGGATGTAGATTTATCACACTGGGAGTCCTAAAACACAACAGCATTTTCTTTATGTTTGGCACAGTCTCAGCTTGCGGCACAATGAAAACACAGAGGAGAATTTTAGTTTCAGGATAAATGGATCTACTAAGTCTGCAAGTCCTGCAGATGTACAGATGGGATTTCTCACCCAAAGGAGATGCAGTAGAAAATGATGAGCAGAACGATGCTCCTGGCTTTAAGCGAGCCGCGGAACATCTGTTTAATGGGCACCAAGCCCTGCAAATTAAGCAAGAAGAATTATTTAGATTCACACTGGCATACAAAAAGGACATTATTAATTACAAACAGTGAAGGGAATATTGTTGTTACAAAAAGGAATAAATAATGATTTCTACCTCACAAAGCTGGTGGAAGTCCAGTCTTTGTGTGTGTCAGGTGGTTTGGGACTAGTTTGAGACAACTAAAGCACAATGACTGACTTGAGATGACTGGCGTCACAAAAGATAGATTTCAAACCCAAACTACAAACTACGAGTTTTCCCCTTCAGATGATCAACCAGCACGTCTACAAAGAGATCCTGTGGCGTTTGCTTCATTCAGTGCGCAAGAAGAGGTGAGAGTTGTTGCAGGAAAAGTCGTGGCTGCTTCACCATGACAACGTGCCTGCTCACAATGCCCTGAGCATCCAACAGTTCCTGGCTGAGAAGAACATCGCCGTGCTAAGTAACCTCCCTACTCACGCCACCTGGCTCCGTGGGTTTGCTTCCTCTTCTTCAAGCTCAAGGGGGTCATCAAGGGGACCCGTTTTAAAGACATGGACGACATCAAGATGACTGTGATGATGGAGCTGTGGAGGATCCTGGAAGAATCCTTCCAGGAGTGCATGGTGGCGTGGCAGAGAAGGCTGAGACAGTATGTTAGACTCCAGGGAGATTACTTTGAAGGGGAAAACTTGTTTGGATTTGAAATATATCTTTTGTGACACCAGTCCTAAACTTTTCTGACACACCTCGTAGTTACTTATNGGTTTGGGACTAGTTTGAGACAACTAAAGCACAATGACTGACTTGAGATGACTGGCGTCACAAAAGATAGATTTCAAACCCAAACTACAAACTACCAGTTCTCCCCTTCAGATGATCAACCAGCACGTCTACAAAGAGATCCTGCGGCGTTTGCTTTGTTTAGTGCGCAAGAAGAGGTGAGAGTTGTGGCAGAACAAGTCGTGGCTGCTTCACCATGACAACGCGCCTGCTCACAATGCCCTGAGCATCCAACAGTTCCTGGCTGAGAAGAACATCGCTGGGCTGGAGCAACCTCCCTACTCACCCCACCTGGCTCCGTGGGTTTGCTTCCTCTTCTTCAACCTCAAGGGGGTCATCAAGGGGACCCGTTTTAAAGACGTGGACGACATCAAGATGGCTGTGACGACAGAGCTGTGGAGGATCCTGGAAGAATCCTTCCAGAAGTGCATGGTGGCGTGGCAGAGAAGGCTGAGACAGTGTGTTAGACTCCAGGGAGATTACTTTGAAGGGGAAACCTTGTTTGGATTTGAAATACATCTTTTGTGACACCAGTCCTGAAACTTTTCTGACATACCTCATAGTTACTTAATCCACAGAAAATAAATAACAATCATTTCTGGTCATTTTTCAAGCAAAAATGCCACAATGCATATGCTGGTTCCATACTGTCATATATCAGGATTTGCTGCTTTTCTCTTTTTTATATGAAAAGGAAAGTGAGTAATCTTTGTTATTTTGGAGTGTTGTTGCAACAAAACAAGATTATTTGTTAATGTGAAACTACAAATGTCATTATAATTTGACTGTTTTCAGAGATTTCACAGAAAAGAACAACAGAGTCAGAATATTAAATCCAGAGTCAAGATGTGTCAGAGCACCAAGAAGCTGCATACAGCAGAATTAAAAAAAAAAAAAAAAAAAAAAATTACCTTTTCTAAAAAACTTGCAAGACGTTGTCGACGTGAACCACAAATTCTGTTCTCCTCCAGTTGCCCTCTTTGCTTAGATCTTGTATGCAGACCAAATTTCTTTAAAAGAGTTCAAGATGACAGTCATTTATAGTACATTATTAGACAGCAGAATCAGGAAAGTAAATGTTCATAGGAGTTGGAGAAAACCACATACAATTTACACCCAGATCTCTCTACATTTTAATCTTTGTCTGTTGGTTGTGTCTTTGGCTGCTTTGTGTTTCTTGGTTTCTATTACATTAAACGATTTGTAACTTGCATCTTTGTTGTTGTGTCTTTTTATCATTTTCACCATTAATTACATTTGTGCATCAAACAATGCTAAAAAATCTTACATATATGTGTATTGAAAAAGCATTTTTTTCGTACCGCGAAACACTTTCTTGTTCCCCTCATGTTCAGCTTAAACATCACTCTGAAGACACGGATGGCATCTTTCTCCCGGCCAGCCTGGCAAAGACAAGGAACAACAAAAATCTCAAAGATGGTTGAGACAGAAAAGCATCCTGATGAAACAAGCTACTATTCTGAGCTTTTAGTACCTCCATGAGGAACTTAGGGCTTTCAGGCATGAGCAGCTTGAAGAGGATGGCCGAGGTGATGCTGGGAACTGAGCAAAGCACCACAAATAGCCTCCAGCTCTGGAAGTCCAGCCCGCTCAGAGAAAAATGTGCCCACGTTCTAGGAATCACCAGCCAGGCCAGACCTGCAGACAGAAACACACACAGACAGTCACCACTTACAGGGAACTCTGTTCCTGTTTCCAAATTCCAGACTTTTTACTTTCTTAGTCTATGTTTTGATGTTAAGTCTAAATCTTTGTATTTGTATTTGTGATGTTTCAAAATGATGAAGGGGGACAAGCTATGATCAATAACAGCTGGTGGTCATTTAAGCTCTGGGAATTCTGCTACAAGATATTTGTTTGATTCTTAACCATCAAATAAAAGCAAAATGCTTAATAAATCAATCAATAAAATTAACTGGAAAACTCCACTTTGCTTGTCAGACATGCAATCCTGAATGTTTAGGCTTCATCAGATAAATGGGATGTTTTGCTAAATGTTAACAAAATGATGGGGTTATAATAACTAGGGGATGAAATTGTGACGATTCTGTTTAGTCGTAGAATACTAACTGACTAGCATGTTTAATCTTTATATAGAAAGATCAATGAAACTACACCCTTAGTGTCAAAATACATTGTTTAGCTGAGGCTGGGGCTG